TAATTTTAAATCACGCTTCACAACGGCTTTTCCTTGATGGGCACAAATAATTAGTTTAAATTAGTACACACTTAACGATTCGCTGAATTTTCTGTCTCTTTCGTTAGAGGTGTTTTTTCCACATTTACATTAAATCCAGCTGGCCACTAGAATACCAAAGTGCATCAAATATTTTTCATGAAATACTTTGTTTTTGGGTGGTTTTTTCCATCACTAACCCATTGAAAAAACATGGTCTTGTTAAGTGCGAAATGTCACCTTCACTGTGACCGATTCTCTTTAGTTTATCTCCTCAGTTGATGAAACCTATTTTTTACTTTGTGATATGCTCAGAAAAACTGCTAATGTGGATTTAATTTGCAGCCTTGTCTAATAACACCGTTAACTACTTGATGTCTTTGTCGTTACTTATCATTTAGTCAATAGAATACAGAGTGTTCGGTGGACGCTTTTCTGCTATTGAAAAGCATTTTTTCAGGTAATTTTCTTTATTAGGCTTAGTCATCAAATTCTAGAAAAAAAAATAAACTGAATTTCCTTTTTAAGCTTTCATATCCGAATTCAACTAACCCTAGCCTGTACCAGGCTGGCGGGCTCTCAGAGAGTAGGGAGGTCGCGATAATAAAACAAGCCAAGCGGAAATAAGACGCACGAAATCTGGATAAGGGGGCGCTGGCGGGAAAAACAAGAGCGCCTTCTCTCTCCCAGCCCCCGCGCGTTTTTCTTATCACTTTTTACTGCAGCACTTCTATCCTGGAGCCTGGAATATGCTAGACTAACCCTGGGTTATCTTAACCCAGTTGTGAACAACCCGGCCATGATGATTAAACTTAAGAACATTGTGGTCGTGCAAATCAAATGACGCCATCACTCACAAAGCTCCGTTTTCAAAGGAGAGCAGATGTCTCAGCATTAATTGCTATTCCTGTGCCATGGAGCAAAAGTCGCCCTTCACTACCCCCCTACGCCCCTGATTTAAGTCCTATCCCCACGTACATTGTTGCTGATGCTGAGGCAAAGACGATTGAAGTTGCAAATGCTTTTCTGAGTTTAGACTGCAAAACAGTCTTTTTTTTCTTTCTCAAAATCAGTTTAGCGTAGCTCAACAGTCTCACACGCGCGAAGCGCTCGAGCCTCACAAACCCTCCTTAGTCTCGCTCTCCGTTTTAAGCCTCGCTCCATTTTTTTTTTACTGCTCGCGCTTACTTGGATACGCAAAAATACCGACTGTTTTGCAGTCTATTCTGATTTACGGTAGTTGTTGTGTCCAGAATTTATCTAGCCTTCCATGACGCGCACTAGCCAGATGGATATAGAGCTTCTGATTGGCTAAAAACTTGCTTCGTCCGATCAGAATCACTACCCAGATCTGGGTAGTGACACGTCATCGGTATAGAATTTTTGCACTCGTTTCTTAGACGTTATTTGTATAGGTAACAGCATGATTTGTAGTGATGTTTGGCATAAATACCACGAGTGATATTTCGAAATTGTTATACGTAATTTCACGAGTCGTTAGGCGAGTGAAATTTGCGACAATTTTGAAATATCACAAATGGTATTTATGCCAAATATCACGTATAAATCATGCTATTATTTGTTTATACTACTACCCACAAAAGGTTTGTAATTTTCACATGTAGGTTTTTCAAATTACGCTGAAATACCACTGCTCTGATCCAATCAAATTGCAGAAATTTCTCATGTAGGGGTGTAAGAGAAAACCACTGGTGGCGTCTTTAACAGAGTCGCACAGAGTTATCTTTATTTCTTCTTGGAAGAATTCTTGAGTCACAGACACCGATAGGCTTTTGACAGTATGTTTTTGCTTCCCTCTTAAATGCCACTCCTGAATGCTCCATATTCCACTTAATTGCTCGGGCTCCCCCTTACAAGTCACTCAAATCCTCTCAATGCTCATCACAGCGGCTTTTTCATTGATTTCAACGCTAACAAAAACGTATGTTGTATAACAACAATGTATACAAATTAACGGTTTTTAAAAAATACAGCAATAGATTATCAGCAGCTGCGTCAGAGTGGTATTTGAATAATTTTATTTCGGGGGTGGGGGCGGCGGTGTTGGGGAGGGAATTTCGATTTTAAAGTGTTCATTTTTTCTTTTTTGAAAAATTCAACTTCACTTTCTTTGAAAAAAAATCTGGCGGGGTGGCCTGACATTAATTGTCGTCATTGTTCTTCAGCAGTTCGGTCATTTGTCGACAGCAAAAAGTGATCATCGTCGCCTCTCTCGGGGCAAGTACACAAGTGAATTGTGAATTTAAATCGTGGACATTTAGCCCATCTTGAGAAAAAAACGGGCGCACGCATACACATCATAAATATAGAAAGAGACAAAGAAAAAGGAAGTGAAAAAGAGCTCACACTCTTGCTGTCAGTTGGTTTACGAAGTCATGTCGCCCGAAATTTTTAGTGAAGTCACCCGAAATTTTATCATGCTCAACAACATCCTAACATCTTTATCCCCCTTGTTTCGTCTCATTACCGCTTAAAGAACGAGAAATATTACATATACACTTTGTTACAATTTCGGGCGACGTAACTCTGGTCTCAAGCGACATAACTTCGGGTAAGACGACTTGACTGGTTACCGCTCAGTTTGTTTTGTATAGAAGGTTGTTTACTGTAGGTTAAGCTAACGTAATGCTTTAGTATATACCAGGCATATACTTTTTCATGTCTTGTGTCAATGCGGCGTGTTACGATTTGTGTGCGAAGTAAAGTTCACAGAAAATGAACCATCAGGCAGCTCTCACTTCCTTAACAGTTTTCATTGCATTCACACGCACAATGCAATCTCATCTCTTCGGCGAGAGTCTCTTCGTGGAATGGAAACAGAGATCTTACCGCCTTTGCCTTAAATCTTCCCTTTTTTGTGCCTTATCTAGAACTAAACGTCGGGCTAGGGCCGCGAGATGCCATGACCTTGTAATGACCATAACAGGTCGTTTGTGGCTTATTTCATTCCACACGAGTTCTTCCTCCAATTCAACCCTGTTCGATAAAATTATAATATCGGAAAACAAATCCTCCAAAAGTGACAAGCTTAACATCGATATGGCGAACAGTCAAGCCCAGAAGATTGACGCAATTAAGAATATTTCTCTTACAGTAAAAATAATAATAACATTCGTCCTATCTTTCACCTCACGTGACTGTGTAAATTACCGAAAAGTGGTTTGCGAAAAAGTGTCGCATTGCAGGTCTATGTATTTATTTTCTCCTCCTGCGTTCGAAAATAAACTTATCGACAACAAATTGTCCTCAAAATTGTCAAATTATTTTATTCTGCCCTCCAGACTAACAATAAATTGTTTATGCAAATTCACACGCAAACATAATGAATTGATTGGACAAACAATACTTATAGACTCCTGTTGACGTAGAAAGCGAGGCCTCTTGCAGAACTTAATTTGCATTTTATGTTTGTATTTTAACTGAAAACATTGCTTAGACTCAGTCGTGAAACAATCTGGCGGTTGCAATGATCCAGTTAGGAGAATTAATCAACAGCGATTTTTCGCTGATTTTTGAATTATTAAGATAAGCAAAAACGCAAAAATTTGGCTTATGTTACGGTTGACAAGGAAGCAAGATGCGGTGGACCGTTAAAACTAAATATTCTGTATAAAATTCACGCACAATGAGAAAAAACCAGACAAGTGAAACAGCTAAATCTTAAAGACATTTCGCATTTAACTGATGGTTTCTGTTTCACTTTTAAATACAACTTTTGCTGTGGTCATTTTTACAAACAGACTGAATAGAGACTTGTGTTTCTCCACTGCACGTGCAGTTTTCCATGTCTGATAAAAGCGATCACTTGAGCCTTAATGATAAGCTTTGTTAAACAAAATATATGATTGTAGTTTAGCAGCACAGAGCATTCGAGTCGTCCGCTGTTAATGTCAGGTTTTACATTTTTAACTCTCTGCTTTCTAAGGTGCTTATAGTTTACTAAGATTATCTGAAAGTGAACTCTAGAGTTTAACGTACACGCGGAAAATACAGTCAAAACAACTGTCTGATGTAAAGGGTGCGACCGGCCACGTTGTAATTATGTTCATATGTATATCTGCTCTCAACCATTCATAACACTTTTTACAAAATCCTCGTAATTAATTTGCCCCGTGTTATCCTCAAAGCCCTGAATTAAGGTATCCACGTCTTCGTCACGAAGTCGTTCTCCTAAACTCGTCAGCACATGTCGAAGTTCTCCCGAGCTTATCGTTCCTGATCCATCGTTGTCAAAAACTTTCAAACTGTCGATGAACGATTCCTGACCGTATTTATGCTTGCGGGAGCGAAAAGACATCATTACGGGGACAAACTCTTCGAAAGAAATGCGTTTGTTCCCGTTCGGGTCAAGATCTCTCATCACCTTTTCGACTTCAGCTTTCGTTGGATTAAGTCCGCACGATCGCAGAACTTGGCCGACGTTCGACGACTCGACTTTGCCATCGCCAACTGTATCGTACAAGCCAAAATTGTCACGGAGGTCATCCATCTCTCGATCCGTCAGCTGGCTCGCCATTTCAAGTCCTCAGCAATGGAGCTAAAATAGCAGCGGATTATAACAATTCGTAGAAACTGCGCGAGAGAGGGTTGTAAACGAGATTAGAGTCTGATAATTTATAACAGCTAATTACATATTACATCTTGCCATGCAGGACGCAAAGGATTGTGGTCTGGTTTAGGCTGTAATCACGCTATACCGGATAAAACTTCTGTTTACACATAAGAACTGTGATTTCGGCGCGATTTCTGTAACAGAACGAAGCTGCCCTGCGCCGATCTCGTGAATGGAGCGTCACATATCGGATGGGTTCTGTCCACCACTTTAGTGTAGTGTGAACAAGTGTTCCGGATCGTAGCGGAAGTGAATAAGGAGGAAAGAGGACTGGGACCCACTGAGACGGAAGTAAATATTCAGGAGTGAGGACTGGGATTTAGAGAACCTGACAAAACCCTCTCGATCTTCGATTTGTGTGAACGACTTGTTCCAGTTCTGTGCTGTTACTGTTCATACTACTTCGTATAGTATAATGAACATTGTCCTGTCTGGAATATTCAAAGGCTTTGTCAATTTGTAAAACTAAAATTTCTAGCGTGGTCACCTTTGACCAATCCGAAATGGCTGTAGATCTACCAAAAGTACAACTCCCACCAGCAAAGCAAAGCTCTTGGGCTTTTGTTTACACCAACAACAACAAGCTTTGTTTACATGACCATGAATTTCACAATAAGCAAAAGCGAACAACATATCAGCTAAGGAAGGAAGAAAAAAAGAAAAGAATAAACAAAGAAAGAAACAAAACAAAAAAAATGTAAAAGAACAATAAGAACAGTTTATCACAAAGATTGAAAAAAGATTATATGAATTAACAAACCTAAGGCTAACGGTACCTGCGCTCATTTCACCACTTCGATTCTCTTCAACAGTGCTAAGTTTTACGGGTGTTCAAAGCTACTTAAAGCTACATAGAAAGGAAAGGAGTCGAAAGAATGATTTGAGGTCACAACTAGGAATCGAACTCTGGACCTCTCGCACAGAAAGCCGCAACTGTGCCAGTTCTTACTTCGAAAAGGAGGAAAATGTTTCGTGTTTCAAGGTCTTCAAGATTTTTGTTTGCGCTGTAGCTCCTTTAAATGGCAGGTTAATCATTTTTAATGGACTTCAGTCAGTATGACGGCAGTATTTCTAGTGTTGTTGGAAATATGAATTTGTAAACTGGCGGACAAAAGCATAGTAAGGTTGTACAACTTAACACTTCATTTTAATGTTTAAAAAAGGTGGCTTCCCTTTTGCTATACTCACCCCCACCCCCTCCCCCTTTTCAATGTTAGAATATAACAGAACAGTTACGCGCACAAGCACTTTAGTTTTGGTCAACGTTGTGCCAAGGGGTGGGGGGGGGAGAAGGCAATAAGAAAACGTGTTAGCCTTCCCAACACTTTTGACGATGATTGTGAGCTTAAACTGTAGACTGGCAGTCATTCCGTTATTTAACAATCGATTCCCTTTTCCGCCGGCGAGCGCTTCAATACTAGCAGGTACCTCTAAATAATTAATCGAAAAGGCTGGGCTCGAATTTGAGTGAAATTTTTCAAGCAGGCCATCTCATTATGCAGAAAAACAACCGTTTTGCGCATCTTTACGAGCTAAACTGGTCTGAGTAAGAAAAGCCATGGCGGAAAATAGCCCAGAGGTTTTGGAAGCTCAAGCCAAGAAAGAGAGAGATGATACGCAACTTCGCTTGTCTCTCTTTGTTTGCGCAGTTGTTGTGCTGACATGGTTTTTGGGAGCATATGGTTTTTCCTTCGTCTGGTCTGGTTTTATCATACCGCTAATATTTACGGTGTGGTACCGCAAAAATTGTCGTATCATTGATGACCGTGTCCGCGAAGCCGAAATCAAAGTTCATCGTCGGAAAGCTTTGCGAGACGAAGAAACAGCAGAATGGCTAAACTTTGTGTTAAATCGATGGTAACCACGTTTTTCTAGTTAATTTATGGCTGTCTCTTGTGTGCGTGCTTATGTATGGTATGTTTACTGCATGTTTTGGGGTGTCTTTTCACTAACAGCAAAGTTTAGTGTAGAAATCTCCTTAATTGTACACTGCTTTCAATACCGTTTCAAGGCATGTTACTTCTATTTTAGTTGAAAGACGCTTTTTGGGTGGATTTCGGTTGTCAAATTTTAATAACCTTGGCCGGGTAAAAAAATCTTTGTTTACGTTGTTCCAATCACACTATAAAGTCCGAAAAAGCACGAGTTGTAGCGAAGACAGAAAAATACAACAACTGTGTATCGCGCAGAGACCACATTTAAACTCTGTTAAATCCCTTTGTTTTTACAACATTGTTTTAGTTTAAGATAAACAACTGGTCATTTGATGCTGAAATTGTGTTTCATCAAAAATCGGTTGTTTTACACGAACGCGTCCAACCCTGTTAACAATGGCGAAAATTCGTGACACTCTAAAATCATAATTTTGACTGATTGTACGTGAAATTTGTTCATTCTCGCTCCTAAAAGTGTATTCTAAGTACAAAATTGTACTTCTAAGCACAACACCTAAGATATAAACAACGCAATTCATTAATACTTAATTTTACATTATTAATTACCGAAAATCTTGCCAGACATTTTTGCCTTACAGAATGTTTCTTCGTATATTTTGTTTCACTCCATTTTCATTCCTTCAGCAATTAAATTTACATCTTGATCGTATTACGTCTTTTGTTGATTCTACTCAGACAGGAGTCGCTCCTGACTCAGACAAATAAGAATAGCCCGTTTCGCCAGGTTAGAGCTTTATTAAAACACTACACTACCCTATCGAGTGCTCCGGAACTCCGGATTCCACAAGCCAAATATTCCACGTTCCACAATCTTGTTTTCCTTACGTGTGGCGATCTGTAATCCGTTTTGCCCCGATTAGCTGACCTTGTCTCTTCGAAAAATAAATTTTCGTGCACAGGCACAAAACGTTAAAGAAGAAGGCAAGTGACTCGATTTTACCGCAACCGATCTGACTGAAATGAACGAAACTTTCTTAAGAACTGAAAGAGAGACTAGGAAATCACAAAAGAAGCATTACTGTGAACATAACAGATAGCAAAGAACTCTAAGAGACGTAAATCGATGGGAGCGGAGACTCTACCGAGTTCAGATATAGTGTATTAAGAGATTACAAATTTGAAAAACCTTTACTGTTAAGACTCTAAGGAAGAAATGTAACAGTGAGAAGGAAATATGGGTGCGGACCTTCTATTTGTATAATTTTTTCTTCGCTATTTTTTTTTTCTTCTAATATTCGTTTTGTGTAATATTTAAGGTGGAATTTCAGCGAAGTTTCCCTCTGCAATCTAGTTCGGGCGAGTCTGAATCCTGTGTTAGATTACAGCAAACCGTCATTTATAGGTAAGATTGATATTTTATTAAGTACATATTTCAGAGTATTGATTATGAATTGTATGAGCTATTACTACACGGGTAAATGATGCTCTAGGCGACTTTTAAAGGTGGTTTGCAATTACTATATCCTTTCAAGTTTCAAGTTCAGGATTATCTTCCACGCTCAATTCTCAAAAAAGGGGAGGTAGCAGTCGGCATCCCTTCCGGGATTGGAAACCAAGGCACTTAAGTAGCATATATACGAGTCCTCTCACCATCCCCAGGGCCTCTGTATCAAAACGAGGTTAAGTGCTCAGCTTTTGTTATGGAAATGAATTTTCATTGTCATGCAAATTAAACTCATTTTCACAACAAAGGTTGTGTACTTGGCCTCATTTTGAAAGTGAGGGTCTTAGGAACTCGGGGGTGGCCTACTTAGGGACTTTCACACCCTCTTGACCACTTTGTCTTCTATTTTCAGAATCTATGGAACTCACCGAGTTTAATTTTGGAAAAAAGACGCCATTTCTGAAATATGTGAAAGTGTTTGAGAATATCGACGAAAATGACTCGCCCAACATTCCCGCCACGGAAGGAAACGCTTTCAATCCACCCTTTGACATGGCAACCAGGCAAAGGCATCTGCTAGTTCTTGTCATGGATCTGTGTTTACATGCGCCTGACAGTAAAATTGCCATCAAAGTCAGATTGGGCGGGAAAATGTGAGTACTTGTTATGGCTAATGGAGTTTGATGCGTCACTGACATTCAATTTGGCGGGAAACGCATGATACACACGCCTTCTTTTCTAGTATTAGGAAGCTTAACCAACGACGACGGCGACGGCAACGAGAACGCCAAAAGAGCAAAATGTTTAATAAATTATGAAAAACATAAATTTAAATTTTGCACGTGCAGCACACTTTTTTGTAGATTTCGTCGCCGTCATTGCACGATTACGACGTGAAATTCCCCCATGCACCGTTTTTATAGCGATGTTTTCCGCGGACGTCGTCGTTGTCGTTGCTAGAACTCCATATTGTCACGGCAATCCTCAGTTACCGTAAATCCTCTGTTGAGCTCTCTCGGGCCCTTTTTTGCTAATACACATTTTAGGGGAAAGCTTAATGGAGAAGTGTGAGTGTTGAGGGGGAGATGGGTTATTCAATTAAGTAAAGCAAAGTGCCGTTAGCAAAGAAAGATGAAGAATCATATTGGAATGATCACGTTCTAATTGCTGTTTTGAGTGAAGTTAATTACTATCTAAAGAGTAGGGTGATATAATTGCAAATTTTACCGCAGTTTGATCATAGCGGGGTCAGTCATTTGTGATAGATGTCATTAAATTCAGTCTCAATACAAGGTTGATCGCTAAACCAAGAGAGGCAGGGAACGGAGGAGAGAGAATTTAAAAACTTTCTTTCGCTAAAAAGGAGGCTTGTTGGAGTAGAGGGCTTAATTGTTTTGGCTTAATTTGATTTACGGTATCAAACTCACCTTTGTCTAAGCTGCCAAAGTGCGTTTCCATCAAGATTGTCGCGAAAATTAAAGAATCTTTTGCGATTCTCCTCAGTTAGCGAAAATGGGCTGCTCCGATAGCCTATTTGAATTTCCACATTAAGCTCACTTCATGATTTCAGCCACAGATTCTAGCCGACACCCATGGTAACAGGGACGTCTGTTATTGCTTTAAGCAGTAAATCTCTTACTATTAATCAGATCACGTAAATTATCTTGTTATTCAGGGTTGGAGCTGATGTTGATGTCAGCATCGAGGATCTATCATTATCGGGCCGAGTTCAAATTGTCTTTGAGATGGATCATCTTGTACCGTTTCCACACATGAAGTCTGTGGCAGTTACGTTCCTTGAAAAGTAAGAACAACAAATATCTGGGTGATATCTGTTAATTCAAGAGCCCGAGAGAGGTATATCAGACCAAGCCCGGCTGCCATTTACCACCCGCCTGGGGATCAAACTCGCGACCTCGCGCTCTGCAGTCAAACGCTTGACCAGCTCTTTTAACTAGTCATGAATGCCGGCTGTTTATTGCGGCTCTGACCAAAACACAAGTCCTCAGACCTTTCTCAACCCATTTAGGAAGGTATTACGCGTCTTAAGACGTTTCTCGTCATGAGTTCGAGAGAGGGTTTGTTAAAGCAAACTTACGTTAGGCTAGGGAAAAAAATCTGCCTTGATTAGAGTAAAGGTTTTCTCACTTGGCATGAGTTAAGAAAGATCTTTGTATGGGGACCTAATACTATCTCCGATTCCCAACTTGCGTCTTAAACAGTTCGACCTCCGTTCAGTGCTCTGGCGTTCGTGGCGGAATTTCTAAATATTGCCAACGCATCGATGGTGTGTTCATAACGTTGTGTGCGGACCGTTTTCCATGGCTTGTGTCTTTATTGCTGAATATGCCCGATAGAGTTATGTTTCGATGTATTTTTTATCGCTTTGCAGACCGGACGTCGATTTTGATGTACGCCTAATGCGTGCTGTTCAAGTGATGGACATTCCAATGTTAAAAGATTTCATAAACGCTCTTGTTATGGACAGTTTAACTTACGGTAAGGTGAAAATTCGTGCTGCTGTACTTATCCAAATTCCAACCAACATGTCCAAATTCCAATTTGATCTGGAAAATGTCTCCATTGGTTGGGGAAACTAAGACGATCACAGGTTTATTAGTTCTTGGAACTGTAAAATGTCACCTACTCTAAATAAAGTTTGTTTGTGTGTGTTTTTTTTTTTCACTAAATGTTCTTGTTTTGATTATTACAGCGCTGGTTGACCCTGGAAGAATCGAGGTCCCGCTTCACGGAGTTGATCCTGATGAGATGCTCAGTGCTGCTAAGAAATCAACGTACGGTTAGTGTCAGCTTTGCGTCCTCTTTTACAAACCATATTTTGAGATATGATCCGAGCATCTTCCATCCACTTACAAACACACCCTTGCTCTTAAGTAGAATGAGAAGCGCCGAAACCAAAGCTTTATCTAAAGTTGGGCGTTACTAAGATAACATTTCCCATGTGTCTTCTCCTCCTGTTTTTAGCCGATGGATTGCTTACGGTTACTCTTAAGGGTGGACTGCCTGAGAAATATACAGGTCAGTATAATTATACAATACTAGATTAGAGTATTTAGGACACTAGTAGCATACCATGAATATTATTTGAGTTTTACAAGTGAGAAGCGCTATCCATTAAAAAGTGTGTTGCTATCCCCGCTGCCCCTAATCTCTACCCCTCCCCCCAACCAATACAATGTTGAAACTAGCAGGTGGTAGGTAAGGGAGGAGGACTGGACAAGTGCAATTTCAGGTCGCTCGCGAACGTTTGCTTAGCGTGTTTGAAAAAGTGTTACCAAGCCAAACTTGTCTTAAGACCTCTGTCAGACGACGACAACGACGTCAAAACACAATTGGTTTTAACAAAAAACAACAGCTCTGTCCGTGCATCACGCTTTCCAGTACATTCTTTGACGTCCACTGCACGACTACGACATGAAACCTCCTAATGCAGCGTTTCCTGGAGCAGGTGAACACACAACGACGAATTTTCCATTCTCCACCTGGATGGTCCTGGATAAGTTCTCAAGAATTCAACTCCAAGAAAAAATCGCCTGCATTTGACAAATTGGGCGGGTCCACATGGACGCGATGGAGTTTGAAAGGACGCAAATTAATTTTTTTTAACGACGTTTTTACTGCCGTCGTCGTCGTCGTTGGTTAAGCTCCCTATTGATATAGACCCACCCTTCCCCCACAGAAAAGTTCGCTCAGTGGCGTTCATTTGAGTGTTCACGATTTTATGTTTAACGATCTTGCTTAACACACTTTTAGAAACACGGCTCAAAGGTTTTGCGTCATTCTTTCAGATGACCAAATATGGACATCTCTCCAAGTGGGTAATCTAGACGAGAAAAACACAGAAAAGATTCAGGGTGGAACAACTTTCGAAGAATCAATATCTTTGCTTATCTACGATTTAGCAAATGATAAGGTACCTATCTTATTGCCGGTTGGCACGTGACGTTACGGCGGCCATGTTAGTGGTCAAAAACAAAAGCATTTCTCTCCTCTGGGAAATAAACTCCATTTTCATGTAAATTCTTCGAAAAAAAAATTATTGTATGGACCACTAACATAGCCGCCTTGTCACGTGGTTCCAAACCAAGAATATCCATGGTCGTTAACGACAAGGTATATAGCTCTGTTTTTTGCTTTTTGTTGAATGTTGAGAACTAAGTGTCTGTAAGCATGGAAATGACTTATCGATAGCGCATTCTTTTCCCTCTGTCTCTTGTGCGCGATTTTCTAAGAAATTTCGCTGGATATGGACGTTAAAAAAATACAATTTCCTACTGCCTGTACTCTAATAGACCAAAGAAATGACGTCAAAATCCTCCACATTTTGCGCGAAACTTTTCGCCAGCGGTTCTTGGTTCCACTCTTGACGGTCGTTGTAATGGTTTATAAGAGTATTGACAGTAGGAAATTGTTGCCGGAGTGGTTTTCAGTTGGTGCTGTTAAACTACTGACAAGCTCAAAATTGCTGAATCTAAACTGTTTGTTAACTTTTTTTACCGAACAGCTGAATGTTGAAATCCGCGGTAAACGAACGTTTGGGACGAAATATTCCATTGCAAAATACAAGATGTTCTTGGGTAGCCTTGGACTGGAAAAGAAGAAAAAAGTGTGAGTTACGATCAACAGTTACTGCAGTATTTTGTTTGTTTTTTGTATTAGTGGTCGTTGGTCTTTTTGTTGCTGTTGCTGCCGCTGTTTCGCCCCGTGTTAAGGTGATGTTACACGAGACGATTCGCAGCGACGATTTTTTTCGCTAAAAATCGTCGTTGCGAATCGTCCCGTGTAACATCACCTTAAGGGAATCCGCATTCCGGAATGTGGGACATTTTTGTTTATGGAATCCGGAATCCCAGGGTTTGGAATGCCGAATACAGCTCAAGTAATCCAGAATCCCACTAAAGATTCGAATCCGGGCTCCAAGTTCGGCTGACAAAGAATCCGGAATCTGGTACCTGGAATCAGGAATCCATGGCGTGGAGATTGTCTTGGATTCCTTTACATGGAGAGAGCTGTTTTCAAAAGCAAAGCCGAACGAAGAATATCATATATCGGTAGCATTTGATAAGTAAACTGAAGTAAGGATATGTATCTACCTTTGTACGCTCATTTTTTAACGTACTAACATGTTCATACTCATCGTTTGTCTGTTCACTGTTAGCGAGACTACACTCAGCAAGGAGGGTATCCGAGGATCTAAGCTAGAAGTGACATTAGAATATACACGACTCAAATCTTACGAAGTCAGTAGCCGAACAGATGAGCAGGAATTTCTTGAAAAGTACGAAAAACCCGAAGAGGATAGTGAAGGTAAAGTAAACACTGAATACGACATTGGCAGAAATGTAACGAACCACACTGGTATATTTTACGAGCTTTCCGCGATGCCATCATGAGGGTCCGTCCCTAGTCGGTTTTACGGGATTCAGGATTTCCCTCGGGTCCGGGATCTTAAATTAAAGTGGAGATGAGATTCGAGATTGAAAGTGTACACGCAAGGCGGGATTTAAAAATAACTAACGGGATTACGGGATTGTGGGAAAATTTGGGTCGAAAAGATAGGATCAAAGAACCTCATAGTGGACCCTCCATCGTGACTTCGATATTAAGATCAGACGGCTCTTTTTTAATAGTACAAAATTAGAGGATTTACAAATATTATTTTCTGTTTTTATCTTTTCTAAGGGAACAATAAGCTTGCGGGCGCCATGCGCTCTGTATCTTGTTGTAGTGGTTGTGCCAAGAGAGAGCGTTAGATTCGAGGACAAGGAAGACTTCAAAAAGGAGATTTGACTTAACGTTTTTTCGCGTTTCCTCAAAAAAAAGACTACCCTGAAAGCTTTATTTTACATTTTTTCTCCAGAAAAGTTAACACGGTTACTTTTATTAATGGAGGTTCAACCCTCCCCCGATCGCAACAAAATGATAAAACTTCCAATACTTGATAACTTGTTTCCGCCACTACGACATTCTCGCTAAAACTCGTGGTAGAATGGCGACGGCTATCACGTTTTCCCGCCAAAATGACGGTGGTTCGCCCGCGCACACTACTGAGTGTTGAAGAAATCCCTTTCTCGTAGTCGTCCTCGTCTTAGAGAGGTTTAACAAGTGACAAGAATTCAATCGCGAAACTACTACGCAGTTAAAAAAAAACTAAACTAAAAAATAGTAACTTTAATTTTTTTCCTTACTGTGCGTTGATGGGTATTCCTCCTGTTGATTATCATCAACTTTGGCGTGTTTTGCAGTAGTATCGGGTCTTCTTCTCGTGGTTGTACATAGTGGTGAGAAACTGCTGGCCATGGATGACGACGGATTCAGTGATCCCTACTGTATCGTCACAGCAAATAAGGAAAAGGTACGCCATGTAATCTGCACAACGATCCCTTCTGTACTTTGCCCAATACCTAATTCCTAGTCTCCCAGTTTAGGAACGTTTTGTGGGAGAGACGTCTCCTATTCGGCCTCAAATATTCGATACTGATGGTGATGATGAACTTTATTAAAGTGTCAGGTCTTCTAGCTGGCCTTGTAAGGTCTACTAAATAAACGGGAGACACAAATAACACTGATGACGTAGATTTGTCTGGAATTTGAAAACGAGCGCTGTTTGGTCGATGTTGTAATAGTAAACAAATATCAAAAGTAAACGCTAATAATCAACTAAAAAACAGTCTTTCCCACGAAACGCCCCTAGCGGCGAGGACTACTCACAGGCTACCTAAGTCCAATTCTGTGCGGCTAAATAACCTGTTCAAAGCACGGATAGTTTAACCGTTCCTAACATATGAAGTCCAGGACAAGGTGGGTGATCTTACTTGCACAGTCATTGCTGCCACAGTCATTACTTTTAAGCTTATATGGAATGGGTAACAGTTAAGGTTAATATGAGTACAACTGAAGTCTTTTAAACCAGACAAATCGTTTGCACAATTTTTTTTAAGAAGTTATTTTTATTGTTACAAATGTTAATTTTTCTTTTTTAAGGTGAAAACCACCCCTCATGTGTCTGGATCGGTAAACCCAGTGTGGGATTCTGTGGTAGAATTTCCTGTCAGAGATTTCACAAAGGTAATTTTTGGGTATGGAAATATCATGCAAGCGGTACGTAGCCCCCTAAATAACCGTAAAGGGACTATTATCTAGGTTATTTTATCATTTTGCCATTATGAAAGTGGGTTACGTAAAACCAGGGAATAAATGTGGTATCGGTATCAACCACTGTGTCGGGCACGACTCTCAGGTTGTAACGGTGTACAAATATGGCGTTAATATTTGACCGGTGAATGAATGAAATTCAGATGAGAGGACAGCAGACATGTCCTCCTTCAATTTTATTTAAATATGTTAACAGTTAGCTCGGACGCCAGCATACAACGGTGCCACTGGTTTCTGTGATCGGCCCATTTATGAGCTTGCCATAGCCCACCCAGCTCATGATATGAATGATCTGTGCAATGCGGCCGCCGACTACTCCATTGAGGAAACTCCCGCTATTCTTTTTGAACAGTAGGGTGGGTTCTTTTACGTGCCCTTCAAATTGACTAATGAAAGAATGGTCCACGAGACAAGGCCAACGTCGCTGCGATCAACTGAACTGAGATATGGCCTCAAATCACAGCCGCCATCATGATTTCAACAGTTTCTTATAGACTCTGATTGGTGATAGCGGGAGACAGACCGGGTTCTTCCAATTGAGCTTACCGGGCAGCGGTTAAATGATGAAACATATAGGTCGAAGGAAAGTTCCAAGGTTTGCGACATGTTTTCACCTGAAGTTTTAACTCCATGTAGCTGATATTTCTATTGTTGTTTTAGACCACGCTGTCATTCCTGGTGTATGACCGTGATGTTAATTGGCAAGGACAGTCAGATGACTTCATGGGTTCCTGTAATCTGGAGATGACTTTGGTACCGATTTTTTAAACTGCTTTCTATTTCTTTACTCTTTCTATGTACAACACCACTTTAAGTTGTAGCATACATCATTAATCAACCCGAAATACCTGTTTCGTTTTTGTGATTTCTCTCGGGTTGGCATCCCAGCGATCACCTGAAGATATTCGAAACTAATTGTTAACAAGAGGCTGGGTAGAAAAGGTGTGCAATGTTTTTGCTAAACCAATCAGAATCCAAAAACAATAAAATTGTTATGTTGATCTTCAGTCTCTATCCAAATGAAGCCGAGTAGTTGTTTTGTCGTAATGAAGGTCTTGAACTATCCAAACAGCAATGAACAAATATAAGCGAAACTTTAGCGGAAGCAAAGTTCTTATCATTTCAAACTTCGTTTTTGTGTTTTAAAGGGGATGGATGACTTGATCTAAGCTTATTTCGTTTTATATTCACGCAGGACGAGCCCGCAATCATCCAACGTAAGATCGACTTACAGTACAAAGTATTTGGTAAGAAAAGGTCAGAGGACTCTACAATGAAAGCAGGCGCGCTCACAGTGTCAGCGGTGTTTCAGCCTATAGAGTCCGTGGCAAAGTCAGGTGAGAATGGATGGGTCTGTAAAAATCTACCCCATTAACAAAGAGTGTCATCAGAGGCCTCACTTCCAGGGTGAGGCAAAGTAAGCATTACAAATGAAATAGACATTTCGACAGCGTATTTTGACGTGAATGAAGTAATTACGAAGAAACCTTGGCGGCTCATTGAACATTAATAGCTCTACCACATATAGAAGTATTCTGTGATCTATACCTGAACAGACACTCGGCAACATGGAATTTATTTGTTTCAAACAATAGCCACTCAACTTTGTGAAGATTTGTTCTAATTTTGACAGTTTCCATACAATGAAACACCTTTCCTATGCTCCGTTTCGTCCTTTTCTTACTTGTGAACAACTTTTGCTAAACTGCTGAACAAGGCAGTGACCTCTCTATGACATGGTTCGTATCTCTTTACTCTATCCAACACTTTGTATAAATGATCATGAACAATTTCGTTTATTGCTTTTACCCGTTTCATTTTCCAGAGAAAGAGGCGCAACCCAGTGGGGTAATGGATGGTGAAGATATCGACGAAATAAACGTATGTTTAGTCCATACCAAAGCTCCTGAAACACGTTTAAAAACTCTTTGGTTATAAGAACTGATTTCCGAGTTTCAAAAACTCGCATTATAAATTGAGGCCAACTGCTAAACCTTTCATACACACATTTATATGCATGACAATTATTGACTTTGAAGACTCTCCGCTCACCCTAGTTTTGAAAAAGAGGCTTAGTTGCAACTCGGAAATGGTCAATTAATAATTTGTATCAACGTCACGTTTTTTGTTGAATTGCTGATCGCCCATGGTTTGAATTATAGATGCATGTCAACAGAACTAAAAGGATAGAGGTTTATTCAAGTGTTGCAATAGTTTGTTAGTCTAAGGCCAGTGTTGCACATTGTATTAGATGTAGTTTCCTGGCGATTTTTTAACTAATCATAGATCGTTCCACTCACGGTCGTATTATATTTCAGGAACATGGCAAGAAGCATACAATGAAGAGCAGCATGAAAATCAAACGACAAGTCGAAGAGTTGAGGTTAATCAAAGGTAAATAGCATACAGTTTGTAAGTATTAATGAGGAACAGTCATTATTGTAATGCAAAATTGTTGAGACGTTTATTTTTGCTTCCTAGAGCTTGGAGTTTTAGTGATCACGATTCTTCAAGGCAAAGAAATGCCGGCCATGGACAGTAATGGTAAGTTCTATGGAGAAATCACCAGATCCTCCATAAGTAGTATAAAGCGCACCGAATCAAGCCTATTTTGAGTTCGTAATTCGCTCGTAAATATGAGCTGCAATAAATGTGATGGTAGTGAAAGGAAACAATATAAATGTGGAAAAGGCAAAGGAATGAAAACAATAAAAATGAAGAGAACAGGAATGAGAGTGAACAACATTTTTTAGTTTCCTTTCTCCCTCATTAACCTACCATTATGGGCCAAGAATCAAGAAAACGGAAGAATAAACAATAAATGCGACAAGAAACAAAACTTGCACAATCACAGAAAGGTTTTGTGACCCTCAATAACATTTAAGTTGGCTTGCGTCTTTTTCAGGGTCCTAATTGCACCTCATATTATTGAGAAGGAGTTACACATCCTTTCCTCTGCCGGGTAGACAAAGAGAAGTTTCTCCTCCCGCTAAAATATGGATGTTTTTGCGTATTTCCTTTCATCTATGCGAAATTAACGTTCATAGACCTTAACTTACTTCAAGTTCCATTTTCTGCTAAAAAAAGGTTCTCGCCTCGCTCAAAATCTTCTTTCCTGCTTTTAAGGTCTTCCTCTACGGTGAAGATTCACTCAAACGTTCTTAATCTGGTCTCAACAGGTCTAAGTGATCCGTTTTGCGTGGTGCGAGTAAACAACTCAAAGAAGTTTAAGACTAACGTGGCTTACGAAACACTGACGCCCGTATGGAACGAGTCTGTATCCATTGCTATGCCTCAAGGTGATGACAATATCAACCTTGTAAGTGAAAATTCTCATTCTTATCATCTATAATTCTGACGGTAACGAACGAAACCGTTCAATAAAAATCGCAATTTTCATTTTTTTAAGATTCTAAGTACCGTCAGTACTATGTCACGGTGACGCCATCGAGGCTTTCACTTGAATGATCACACTAAAGAATTTTGTTTACAGACTTCAAAGTAAGAACCACCTTGTATAGCTAAACAGTACCACAGCAAAGTACCGCTCGGTAACTTTCATTTGAATGGTCTTGACCACCTCGTGCAGCGTCATTTAAGTGCCCCTGGAGAGCTCTTATGTGAATAGACACACCATAGGATTCCGTTCCTAGAATCAAACTTTGGAACCAATTTGTACAGTCACGCAAGACAGTGTTGCTTGGTAGGTTTCATCTGAATGGTCACACCACACGATTCCGTGACAAACAATTAACAGAACCTCAGGAACGCTCTGCTGAGCGGCTTTTATCTGAATTCTGAGAACTGGACTCTATTGACTCTGGGAATGAAAGTGGGTAACGACAGTAAAATTCGCCACAGGCCGAAGATGTCTGATTGTCCACTCCCGTGTTCTACCTTAACCGTGTTTTGCACGCACATTTAAGAAAGTATTTGGTTTAATTATGTTTTAGGATGTATTTGACAAAGATGTGTTTCAGAATGACTTCATGGGAACTGTGTCTTTGTCGGTGGATGAAATAAAGGACGCTTCTAAGGTGAACTTGCTATTTTTGCTCTATTTATTTGTATTATTATATTCCAAATGGGCCATAAATAGACTAGTTACTACTATAAGTCGAATTAGTAAAATCCAGCTGGTGGTCTATTATCAATGCTGCGTTCTGATTGGCTGAGCTACTACTAGGCTATATGTTATCGCCCACTAGTAGCAAAAAGCGCCAGCTTTGAAAACCAAAACAATGGCGGCTGAATTGCGTTTTGCCAGCTAAAGTTGTTTTCTCTCGATATTTTTCACCAACTAGTTGGATTTTACTAAAACAATTATTCCTCTCGCCCTCATGGGCTCTTGACTCAGAGCCCATTCGGGCTCGAGGAATAATTGTTAAAAACATACTTCTTTATAGAGAAACCTTGGAAAGGTTCCTCTCATTTTATCCGTTGGAGAAAAATGTCTAAATTGGGTCAGTAATAGCGACTGCCGGTCGTTTACTTAGATGGCAGACTAAGATGAGGCATATTGCAATTACGTGCCTGAGCTAACCTGAAGAGTGGAGAAGAGCAAACTGCACGTAATCAAGCCTAAGCCTTATTAAGAAAGTGCTCTTTAACTTATGCCAATACCAATACGATTCCTAAGGACTGAAATGATTATACTGAGCAGCAGGGAGTATTTTTAAGCTACAATGAGGGACACAAGTGTTAAGACGCTTCCGTAAAATGGCCCTTTTTTACGTAGTGGACATACCTATCCCCTTCCCCTGTCTACCCCAACCCCTTCCCCCCACAAAATCTCGGGGGTTGAGGGGATTTACGGCGTTTAAAAGGAGTGAAATAATAATTGAATTAAATGTTTGATAAAAGCACCCGTTTTAAACAAGAGTGTCAACTACTTTTGTCCCTGATTGTAGGTATAATTTACCATTATGAAGCTTTAACACATGACCCTCCATTCTGAGGCTTATGTATGAACTTTATCACAGTAACTTCCCATATCGCACGTCACTTCATATCCCTAATATTTATAGTCTGAATTTCGACGGTCTAAAACGTGCCAAAATCCAGCTACTAAGTTGCAGGGGCATCGTTTTCATCCTGTGCATTTCTTATTTTGTTAACTATGTGTACTTCGTCTTCAGAAAGGAAAACCTCAGTGGCTCAAGCTTCAGGAAGCTGAGTCAGGTGAAATCCAGGTTCAGTTCAAAGTGTCAGTCCCTGGTGAACAGGTAAAGAAGTTTTGATCAATCCTGTCACCCTTGATGGCAACATAAGCACCGTAAAGTGCCGCTTAAAAGCCGCACCCCCTTTCCCCCCTCCCCCCCCCCCGCTCTCAAGAACCCCCAAGAATTGATCCATTCCGCCGTCATTCTACATCAAAGGTGAAGAAATTGCCAGCCACCACGATCCCCCCGCCAAGCTGTCGCTTCACTAATATCACTTGCTCATTTCTCTACCGTCTCTTTGCCGTTCTACAGTCAGTTTAGGCTCGAGTGTCACACCCCTAGGAAACGAGAAAAGAGTTTTGTAACACACGTGCCCCCCGTGGTGCCAAACTAACCCCCCAAAGTGCGCCGTTAAAACCCCCCCCCCCCCCCCCCCCCCCCCCCCCCCCCCCTAAAAGGGCCCCCCGAACACGGCCCATCTACCTGAAAACGAAAAAAATAAAAGCCCCCCCCCCCCCCCTGGATAAAGAGCGCTCCTTCAAATGTATTGAAAAAACCCCGTAAATAAGCCCCCTCGGATATAGGCCCCTCTGTAAAAACGCCCTCTTAAAAACCCTTACGAAGATGTATAGGCGGCAGTTACGGTATTTCTACTCCCACTTATAATGTTGCTCTCTCGCTGTATGTCTGCGCAGAGAATCCCGAGACAAAGTTGCTTCATACTGCGACAATCGTGAAACATTTCAGACAAAACATTATCTTTCTACGGATGTAGTGAATAAAAAGAGTAAAAGATGCCTGCAAAACACAGCTTATAACCCTTACTTGCGTGTCACCCGCCCAGTGGTTGTACCCCTCGCGCGCCCTTTGTTTTTCTTCTGTTACGTAGACCAGAGATTTCTTCGCGTTCTTTGAAAAAATTATCTGACCAGTCACAAAACACAAATTAGCCAAAGAACCCTGTGTTGAAAATGTTGTGGCAATGAAGTGATTGTTTGACGCGGCATGGTATCAACATCTCAAAGAATCCTTGGACAAATGTTGGACAACGTTGGGAATATTTGACCCGTCATGGTTACAGAATTGTCACAACATTCAAAAACAAATATTGTGACAATGCTGTCAATGTTTCATCCAACATTGGCTCAATATCTGACAAATACATGTATTTTGAGTGTTTTACCAGATCTTTACTTATGTTCTAGGACGAAGCAGCGGAAGGAGCAGCTCAGCCTGGAGAAAGCGGAAACGATTCTGGAATCAGCGATGCTGGTGAACACACCGAAGCTGTTAAAGATGTGTTTGATCTTACATTGGACAAGATGGAAGGTATACTCTCAAAAGCCGACTCGACCTAGATAATTACGATGTTGCTATCGTCTATGGCATTTTCTACCTGCTTGGACAATCAAACTGACCCTTTTTCTCTTGCAGTCTTTCTTGTACCTTCTTTAACCCTCTCACTGCCAAATGTGGCCAAGGGCAAAATTCAACAAAAATTTCCAAATTTCGTTTTGTAAAATTTTGAAAACAAATAGCACCGTTTGAAAGTACAGGCAGGGAGGTTTCACTTAAATGGTCACATCATAGGATTTTGTCCGCAGACTCAAAAGTTAGAACTACCTTAAGAGACTCCAACATTCACTCTGGCAGTGAAAGGGTTAAGTCGAACATGATCGTAACACATCGTGGCTTTGAGCCGTAGCAATTATTCCGGGTTTTGAACCGCTTGGGCTGTGGAATCTTAACCGAGCACCGTTTGGCCTTTTTAGTTCTCCCTCTATTTTTCACAGAATTAAATCGAGAAACTGCAACAAACATTTTAGAAACGAAGTTCAAGAGAAATGTGAATCTCATTGTTTTTTTTTTTAATGCATTGTTTTATTCGTTTTCAGAATACATTCAAAGCCAGATTCCACCATTATTTTATAGTATATCAGGAGAAGTCATTCAGGGCTCGGACATTACAGGTTAACTGTCAACTCTTTTAAAATGTTTCTTACCGATTCCTTCAACTCTTTACTCTCGAGAGTACCAAACATTAAAATTCAAGAAAAAAAAGATTTGATGTCATAAAATGCTTTTAAACAAATAGTACCATGTGAAAATATGGTTGAAAAGATTCATGGTTGGAAGGTCACACTTAAGATTTCATTCACAAACTAAGTAATTAGAACCACCTTGGACAGCGTAATAAACAGTGTTAATGTTCACTAGCTTTCACGTGAACGATCACACAATAAGTTACTTATCAAGAGTTGTTTTCTTGTATCGTCAGGGTTTGGAACGTTTCAGATTCGTGCGAGAGTTGAGATGTAAGTATTATTAATATACATCCAACGAACTGGAATAGAACTTTGTTTCCATTTGACAGTGGCTATAATCATGGCATCGCGTCTATTATATGGACATCTGTGTAATACAAAACAGTTGGTGTCCGTATTAAGGAGGTTGGCTGTATCTCTCTAAAGGCCGGTTTAGACAGTACGATTTTTGCTTACGACTATCGTGCGCGACTAGCATACGTCATCACTTTTGACCATCCACACGCGCACAATTTTCACTTACGATATCCACAATGTGTCGTAGAATATCGTGGGTCTAACTTACACCACCAGATTTGTCGTGAAGTCATGAAGCATGCTAGTCGCGCACGATAGTCGTAAGCAAAAATCGTGCCGTCTAAATCGGCTTTACTATGAACATTTCTGTAATACAGCTGTCATTTGGCTCTGCCTCCACCTCTCCCCCTTGGTGTCCGTTGTAAGTTAATGTGCTTATTAAGGAGGTTGGCTTTATCTCCCTTATATGATAATCTCTGTATTGCAGCCAGTTAGCTCTGTTCCCTTGGTGTCGGTATTGAGATCGAGTTGACTGTACCTCCATAATGCAGACAAATGGCTCTGTTTCTTTTGTTTCGGTAATAACGACGTTTAACTTTAATTCAATTTTACCCCATTCCAAGTTGCCGTCTGTACATTGTTCTACGGGGAGAGGGAGTGAGGGGCTTAATCTAGAGGGGTAGCTAAAGTAGGCAAAGGCGGATACGAGCTAATGAGGCTCACAAGGCCTGAACGAAAGCTTGCTTTGGTAGCATGAAGCACCTTCTTTTCTTGTCTAAAAAAACGCGACGGTAAAGCTTGAACCCCAACCGCTGTTTCGCGAGACTAACCGCTCACCCACCACGCATGCACTCGTATGGCTAGGTTGGCTAGTCGAAACTTTTGAAGGTCTGGAAGAGACATAATAGAACGCTTTAGAAACCTTAACGTTAACTGTTCTTAATAGAGTTACCATGTTGCTTTCCCAGCCCGCGACGTGGTCGAAAGAGCAGCATGAAGCACGAGTACATCACTATGTGCACAACTCCTCAGCTGACTCCAGAGAGTGGCTTGGCCAAGTGGAATTACATCTTCCAGGTGAGATTTTAAACTTAACGTAAAGGATCTGCGGGTGGGAAGAATCGCACTAAATTTGTTTCTGCTTGAAAAAAGGAGCTTGGGAGGCAGACCAAAGAATACGTAGCATGGAATCACAACAAAGGAGATGGAGAAGTTAGACTGTAAGCGAAAAGCAGGCCTAGTTGCTAATTTGAATCTGATTTTTCCCACTTGCCGTAACCGCCGTTCTATTTCACTTTCTTGGCAACGGTTGCGCCTTTNTTGCTTTGGTAGCATGAAGCACCTTCTTTTCTTGTCTAAAAAAACGCGACGGTAAAGCTTGAACCCCAACCGCTGTTTCGCGAGACTAACCGCTCACCCACCACGCATGCACTCGTATGGCTAGGTTGGCTAGTCGAAACTTTTGAAGGTCTGGAAGAGACATAATAGAACGCTTTAGAAACCTTAACGTTAACTGTTCTTAATAGAGTTACCATGTTGCTTTCCCAGCCCGCGACGTGGTCGAAAGAGCAGCATGAAGCACGAGTACATCACTATGTGCACAACTCCTCAGCTGACTCCAGAGAGTGGCTTGGCCAAGTGGAATTACATCTTCCAGGTGAGATTTTAAACTTAACGTAAAGGATCTGCGGGTGGGAAGAATCGCACTAAATTTGTTTCTGCTTGAAAAAAGGAGCTTGGGAGGCAGACCAAAGAATACGTAGCATGGAATCACAACAAAGGAGATGGAGAAGTTAGACTGTAAGCGAAAAGCAGGCCTAGTTGCTAATTTGAATCTGATTTTTCCCACTTGCCGTAACCGCCGTTCTATTTCACTTTCTTGGCAACGGTTGCGCCTTTTTTGCTTCCGTTAGCGAGTGAATTTTTTCCAGTGCGTCCCTTTCTTACTTGCACGTGTTGTCAGTGATAATGGTTTTAGTTTTTGTTTATCTTCCATGTCACTTGTAGCTGAATCTGTAAATAGTAACTAATTCACATTCGCATAAAAGCCACCTTATGCCTTTTGATAAATAAGTTATGGGTGAAAAACTTTGCATAAGGCATAGGGTGGCCTGATAGAGAAAATTTGCCAGCGCCGCTGAACGGGAGGAGGGTGGAGAAACTTGCTTGCCCGTTGTAGAGTAGGCTTGCGAGAAGAAGGCGAATTTGTTTGCTAGGGCGTATAAAAGGCCTAGGGAATTTCCCTGGAGACCGTAAAGGACCAATAGACTGCTTTACAAGGGAGCACGCAGTAATGTAGTTGATTGCATCGTCACGCGGCGGCTTTTACACGAATGAGAATAGTTATTACGTACGTACATCCTGACGTTTTTTTTTAATCATTTTAACTGGCAATTTAGACTGCTGGAGGCACCGCCATTTCAAATGAGGCTAATTTGGTGTTTGAACTACGAGATGCCAAGAAAAACACCGTCGGCAAGACGAAAATTTCAATCCAAGAATTCTTCAGAGGTAAGCATGACTTCTTCCGTCACTAAGTAGAAGTACAGTGTACAGTTGTTTCAGCCAAAAGCAATAGCTCTATATCAAAGCAATCATCATTACAAAAGAAGCCAAATTGGCCTAGGCCGGTTACAGTCATTAATTGAATGTGCTTCCTTTTCAGACGTATTTATCAAGAGGTCTCGTTCACACACGGGCGGTAGCACGCAAGGTATTTTTAAAAGCTTCTTCTTACTTTTTATGATTTGCAAATGTTGAGTCTCATGGCCTCACTGTCAAAGTCCCAAACAAGGACTGAGTTAGGGCAGAGTGAAATACACTTAGAAGGGTGTAGATGGAGGTCCATGCCCTTATTGCTACAATAGCCCAAGAATAATAAAGCCAAAAGGAAAAAAACATTGCCTCCTTTTGCTACATATCTTTGACGCTTTCCGAACAAAGTTTATGAGGTATTCAGGAGGTATTCTTCCTCCTCTTTCTCCACCTCTTCCGCCTCCGCCTCCCACTCCTCCTCCTCTTTCTTCTCCTCCTCTTCCTCTTTCCTCTCCTCCTACTCCTTCTCCACCTCTTCTCCTCCGCCTCCTCCTCCTCCTCCTCCGCCTTCTCCTCCTTCTCCTCCTCTTTCTTCACTTCCTCCTCCTCTTTCCTCTCCTCCTACTCCTTCTCCATCTCTTCCGCTTCCGCCCCCACCTCCTCCTCCTCCTCCTCCTCCTCCTCCTCCTCTTTTTCCTCTTCTTTCTCCTCTTCCTCCTCGCCCCCCTCCTTCCCTCCCCGTTCTCCTCCACCCTCCTCCTCCTTCTCCTCTTTAGTCTCATCACAAGGTCCTGCAAATTGTCAGACCGATTTCAGAGAAAGAATTTTATAGAGTTTGAATGGATACTATGTGATTAACTTGATTCTTCTAACAACTTTCCAATAATAATCACTGACATTTGGCATTCCTCTGCTGTTTGTAAAGAAACTCCGATCAAATATTAGGAGCGTTGAGATTATAACCAGATTACACCCAGTAACAAATGTTAGCTGACGAATTCTGTTATGTAGTTGTTTTGTTCAAATGCTTGCGCTCTCCTTTACAGGCAAGCACTCGGAAACAAAGTGGCTTAACCTAGAACATGGTAAGTGTTACAGGCTACAGTGAAGGTCTTTATAAAAAAGAGTTTAGAAGGTGTTTAAAAAAACCTTGTTCTAAGCCATTTTGGGTTTTTTCATCATCACTTTACCTACTAAAAATAAGCAGCTTGTAAACAATGTTTCGCGGCCGCTACTTTTCGTAAAATGCGCTCCAAGTTAGTCTTTGCACTACCAACTGTCCTTGCATGTTAAGGGTCCTTGCAAGTGAGCGAGTGAAATGGTGCACCACATAGCTATAAATGCACTTATGAGGACCAAGTTATTTCCATTATATAAGAACCAGTGTTAGGCCTAACAGATATAGAGCTCGAATATGGGGCAATGTTAGACTTGCTACAAGTCGACTTCTCATTAGTTCTTAAAGTGAGCGAAGCGAGCTTCAATGCATGAGGTGGCGCAGCGACCGAGCTAGCAATTAAGTCTGGAGGTCGACTTGTTTCCCCTGAATGGATTTGAATCATATTATAAATTCACGCGGGAAAAAAATGATTGACATACGCTGTATCGGGAGCGGCGTTAAATGTCACTCACTGTCCTATTGGTCAATTGTCATGACGTCGACCAATGAATTTCGCGCCAAACAGGTACGAAAAGTCCTTTAAAATGGCATAACCAACGAGGAAAAAAGTAAAGGACTTTAAGAAAGTCTAGAGCAATGTGTGTATTTCCATGAAGGTAATGGCTACTTTCCCCGCTATAATTATGTTTCTTAGGCATAAGGAAGTACCAAACCCATTTGGTCCAGCTATAAACAGCTTTTGATACCTCATATGTAACAATTTTTAGGTTGTTGCGAGCGACCAGAGCAAATCGCAATCCTAATCTCCAGGTTGCTGTTACGCATGTGCGGAATATACTTATCCACCATTATTTTGGACTTTTACTAAGTATTACGCGCGTTTGGAGCTCCGTTCACTCCTTCACTCGTTATTCGCCACTTTGAGGTTGCGCGGGAGACGGGCTCGAGATGGTTTTCAACTGCATTGTGGGACTGTTTTGGGGGACGCATTTTCAACATAGCGGCAAATTTGTCCCCCTAAACAGTCCCACAATGCGCTTTCACAACCATCTCGACCGTTCTCCCGCGCAACCTCAAAGTGGCGAACTGATCGCGCGCATTTTGAACTTTTATCACATGAAACATTCTTTAAGCTTAACTTTGGAGCAATAGCGTTTGAGTCGATCTCACTCTTACTCCCTAACCTTTGCTTATTACTAGTAATAGTTTTATAGTGAGGGTTATTATATTCTTTTTGTTTATTTTGTTTAGATGGAATGCCTGCTGGTCGACTAGAGGTGATGCTTTCTTATTCAGACACGCCAGACGCCCCTGTTGCTCATGCCCCCTTAAAGAAGCGCTCTATTCTGAAGAGGTTCTCCTCAAATTCAAATCTCTAGCTCCTAAGATATCACGAGCACCACGAATGTGAGTTCATAACAATGACACTACCTGGTCACGATTGCTTTGGTAGCATGAAGCACCTTCTTTTCTTGTCTAAAAAAACGCGACGGTAAAGCTTGAACCCCAACCGCTGTTTCGCGAGACTAACCGCTCACCCACCACGCATGCACTCGTATGGCTAGGTTGGCTTGTCGAAACTTTTGAAGGTCTGGAAGAGACATAATAGAACGCTTTAGAAACCTTAACGTTATTAAACTGTTCTTAATAGAGTTACCATGTTGCTTTCCCAGCCCGCGACGCGGTCGAAAGAGCAGCATGAAGCACGAGTACATCACTATGTGCACAACTCCTCAGCTGACTCCAGAGAGTGGCTTGGCCAAGTGGAATTACATCTTCCAGGTGAGACTTTAAACTTAACGTAAAGGATCTGCGGGTGGGAAGAATCACGCTAAATTTGTTTCTGCTTGGAAAAAGGTACTTGGGAGGCAGACCCATGAATACGTAGCGTGGAATCACAACAAAAGAGATAGAGAAGTTAGACTGTAAGCGAAAAGCAGGCCTAGTTGCTAATTTGAATCTGATGTTTCCCGCTTGCCGTAAACGTCGTTCTATTTCACTTTCTTGGCAACGGTTGCGTCTTTTTTTCTCCCGTTAGCGGGTGATTTTTTTCCAATGCGTCCCTTTTTTACTCGCATGTGTTGTCAGTGACTGTGGTTTTAGTTTTTATTTGTCTTTCGTGTCAGTTGTAGCTGATTCTGTATAGCTCTTTATTTTTCCTTACATCCTGACGTTTTTTATCCTTTTTAATTTGCAATTTAGACTGCTGGAGGCACCGCCATTTCAAATGAGGCTAATTTGGTGTTTGAACTAAGAGATGCCAAGAAAAACACCGTCGGCAAAACGAAAATTTCAATCCAAGAATTCTTCAGAGGTAAGCATGACTTGTTCCGTCACTAAGTAGAAGTACAGTGTACAGTTGTATTAGACAAAAGCAATAGCTCTATATGAAAGCAATCATCATTACAAAAGAAGCCAAATTGGCCTAGGCCGGTTACAGTCATTAATTGAATGTGCTTCTTTTTCAGACGTATTTATCAAGAGGTCTCGTTCAAACACGGGCGGTAGCACGCAAGGTATTTTTAAAAGCTTCTTCTTACTTTTTATGATTTGCAAATGTTGAGTCTCATGGCCTCACTGTCAAAGTCCCAAACAAGGACTGAGTTTTGGCAGAGTGAAATACACTTAGAAGGGTGGAGATGGAGGTCCATGCCATTATTGCTACAATAGCCCAAGAATAATAAAGCAAAAAGGAAAAATCATTGCCTCCTTTTGCTACATATCTTTGACGCTTTCCGAACAAAGTTTATGAGGTATTCAGGAGGTATTCCTCCTCCTCTTTCTCCACCTCTTCCGCCTCCGCCTCCGCCTCCGCCTCCGCCTTCGCCTCCTCCTCCTCCTCCTCTTTCTTCTCCTCCTCTTCCTCTTTCCTCTCCGACTACTCCTTCTCCACCTCTTCTCCTCCGCCTCCTCCTCCTCCTCCGCCTTCTCCTCCTTCTCCTCCTCTTTCTTCACTTCCTCCTCCTCTTTCCTCTCCTCCTACTCCTTCTCCATCTCTTCCAATTCCGCCCCCACCTCCTCCTCCTCCTCCTCCTCTTTTTCCTCTTCTTTCTCCTCTTCCTCCTCGGCCCTCTCCTTCTCCTCCCCGTTCTCCTTCACCCTCCTCCTCCTCCTTCTCCTCTTTAGTCTCATCACAAGGTCCTGCAAATTGTCAGACCGATTTCAGAGAAAGAATTTTATAGAGTTTGAATGGATACTATGTGATTAACTTGATTCTTCTAACAACTTTCCAATAATAATCACTGACATTTGGCATTCCTCTGCTGTTTGTAAAGAAACTCCGATCAAATATTAGGAGCGTTGAGATTATAACCAGATTACACCCAGTAACAAATGTTAGCTGACGAATTCTGTTATGTAGTTGTTTTGTTCAAATGCTTGCGCTCTCCTTTACAGGCAAGCACTCGGAAACAAAGTGGCTTAACCTAGAACATGGTAAGTGTTACAGGCTACAGTGAAGGTCTTTATAAAAAAGAGTTTAGAAGGTGTTTAAAAAAACCTTGTTCTAAGCCATTTTGGGTTTTTTCATCATCACTTTACCTACTAAAAATAAGCAGCTTGTAAACAATGTTTCGCGGCCGCTACTTCTCGTAAAATGCGCTCCAAGTTAGTCTTTGCACTACCAACTGTCCTTGCATGTTAAGGGTCCTTGCAAGTGAGCGAGTGAAATGGTGCACCACATAGCTATAAATGCACTTATGAGGACCAAGTTATTTCCATTATATAAGAACCAGTGTTAGGCCTAACAGATATAGAGCTCGAATATGGGGCAATGTTAGACTTGCTACAAGTCGACTTCTCATTAGTTCTTAAAGTGAGCGAAGCGAGCTTCAATGCATGAGGTGGCGCAGCGACCGAGCTAGCGATTAAGTCTGGAGGTCGACTTGTTTCCCCTGAATGGATTTGAATCATATTATAAATTCACGCGGGAAAAAAATGATTGACATACGCTGTATCGGGAGCGGCGTTAAATGTCACTCACTGTCCTATTGGTCAATTGTCATGACGTCNAAGGGTCCTTGCAAGTGAGCGAGCGAAATGGTGCACCACATAGCTATAAATGCACTTATGAGGACCAAGTTATTTCCATTATATAAGAACCAGTGTTAGGCCTAACAGATATAGAGCTCGAATATGGGGCAATGTTAGACTTGCTACAAGTCGACTTCTCATTAGTTCTTAAAGTGAGCGAAGCGAGCTTCAATGCATGAGGTGGCGCAGCGACCGAGCTAGCGATTAAGTCTGGAGGTCGACTTGTTTCCCCTGAATGGATTTGAATCATATTATAAATTCACGCGGGAAAAAAATGATTGACATACGCTGTATCGGGAGCGGCGTTAAATGTCACTCACTGTCCTATTGGTCAATTGTCATGACGTCACCGGTGGAATTTTCGACCAGTGAATTTCGCGCCAAACAGGTACCAAAAGTCCTTTAAAATGGCATAACCAACGAGGAAAAAGTAAAGGACTTTAAGAAAGTCTAGAGCAATGTGTGTATTTCCATGAAGGTAATGGCTACTTTCCCCGCTATAATTATGTTTCTCAGGCATAAGGAAGTACCAAACCCATTTGGTCCAGCTATAAACAGCTTTTGATACCTCATATGTAACAATTTTTTTAGGTTGTTGCAAGCGACCAGAGCAAATCGCAATCCTAATCTCCAGGTTGCTGTTACGCATGTGCGGAATATACTTATCCAGCATTATTTTGGACTTTTACTAAGTATTACGCGCGTTTGGAGCTCCGTTCACTCCTTCACTCGTTATTCGCCACTTTGAGGTTGCGCCGGAGACGGGCTCGAGATGGTTTTCGATTGCATTGTGGGACTGTTTTGAGGGACGCATTTTCAACATGGCGGCAAATTTGTCCCCCAAAACAGTCCCACAATGCGCTTTCACAACCATCTCGACCGTTCTTTCGCGCAACCTCAAAGTGGCGAACTGATCACGCGCATTTGGAACTTTTATCACATGAAACATTCGCCAAGCTTAACGTTGGAGCAATAGCGTTTGAGTCGATCTCACTCTTACTCCTTAACCTTTGCTTATTACTAGTAATAGTTTTGTAAGTGAGGGTTATTATATTCTTTTTGTTTATTTTGTTTAGATGGAATGCCTGCTGGTCGACTAGAGGTGATGCTTTCTTATTCAGACACGCCAGACGCGCCTGTTGCTCATGCCCCCTTAAAGAAGCGCTCTATTCTGAAGAGGTTCTCCTCAAATTCAAATCTCTAGCTCCTAAGATATCACGAGCACCACGAATGTGAGTTCATAACAATGACACAACCTGGTCACACACAAGGATTGTCAAAGCACGCGTAAAGCACGTGCGTCAATATTGCGTTTTATGTTCTTATGACTGTCGTGACGTCAAAACCAAAGCAATTACATCTAAACAATGACATCTATGAACAGCTATAAATCAAACAGCAAATGCTCTTAATGGCGGGAAATGCAACCGCCCTGAACGCGATCAACTGCTTGCAAAAGTTGCTAAGTGCGGTAAAAATCTTGCATACAATTGCCTTTCTTGATTATCGATTATGACACATCTCATAGCCTAAAGCAAAGAAAACAAGTGATTCTCTTTGTCTGCATTTAGACATAGCAGTGTATTCACTAGCCTGCGTTTCCAACCGCTTCTCATCGTTTGCCGTCGCTGGCCACCTATTACATGTTCTCTTTTATCAATGGTTTGTAGCCAAAAGGAGCCGAATATATATTTCCTGACCAACCAGTCTTACGAGTTCAGGGTTGTGTACACTCAGTGTCAAATGACCTCTGTAATTTAACTCAGGAAAAGTGAAAAAAATTGGGAGAAGGTTTAATTAGTTGCTTAAAGTATCGATTTAAAAAATCCAACTAGAAAAACCAAAAAGTGCTGATTGAGTTTTAGGACAGTATTCAAGCTAACCGCGACCAAATTTTTTCTTGGAAATTAAATGTGGCGAAAGATGATCAAAGATTATATTGTGAGGGGTAGGTTACACTTTTTAAGTTAAATTTCCTTGTTTATTACACCTCCTTGTATATATGCATTCACTATGTAAATAAAGCTGGGAAATTCGGTAAGTGATCATATGCGAAATATATACTTTTACTTTGCATTGTGTACCATTTTTGTAAAACTTGTAACCCTTAAACCTACAAGAACCTACAAGAGCCCAAGACAAAGCAAATTCAAGAAAACGCACCGATTTATGGAGTGCTTTCACGTGACGTCGTCCGCCATATTGGTCAGTTCTAAAACAATGAAATGGCGGTCATGTTGGTGTTCAAGCAGTCCTGTGGGTGTTTTAAAACCTTTTTCTTATGTAGAAACTTTCCCTCTTCCAAAAAGTTTACGTAGCTGCTGGTCCCTTGATTGAAAAGGCCCCTTCTTATAGCTATACTCTCGCTGACGTCATCTATTGATCTTACTGTGCCAACTAGATGCGCATTGGTTCTCGAAACAAAATATTCTTTTGTTTCGCTTGTTACACATTTGCATGGCAAAAAGATTGTGGATTCACAATACATTGAGATAACGAATCTGAATCTGCTAAAATAGAGAAACAGTCATCGGAGATGTATTTCCTTCGATCGGATAAATTGACTGGCAACTCAGAGCCTTTCAAGTTTGGACAAATATCAGACAATAATACAATAATTTCATGTTTTGTTTCCGGTTTTATTCTCTTTTTCGAAACCTTTTTCAGCTTTGACGAAAATAATATTGCAGCCATGCCGGGGAATTTTTGCTAGCTCATTGCCCCGCTCTTATCCAGACCTAGATCTTGAGTTATGACATAAAAGTTTTTGTCCACCGACGATGTTGATTTGGCGTAATTCTTAGCTTTTTTTCAGTTAACTCCTGTTTCAAAACAATGTTTTTTGTTGCAAAAAATTTAAATCACCCAATGAATTATACTGCTTTTCTTTATAAGACTTCAATTAATCAATCATTGAATTCGTCAATCAATTATTTGTCATTTTCGAGCTATTTTACAGTTTAGTCTCGTTCCGATCATCGTGCAGCTGCCGCCGGTGCGAAACTCACTTGATAGATTGAAATTCGACTCTGGCACGCATTATAATCAACTGGTTAATAATATTTACATTAGAATACATTTTAAAAGTTGGTTAAACCGGTTAACGTGTCAGTCACGGTCTATAATTTCCTCGTATCCAGTCCTTTTTATATTTCCCTTAGGGTAGAGTTAAAGCTATTCTTTGAGACAATATCCGCAAAAGCAAAAACAAGCAAGGCACTCGTTTATTTATTCCTCAAGTCCACTACAGCATGACGCAAGCTTTCGCCTCAGCTTTCCCAACTGATTTCCTAGAACCATGGAAGTTAAGCGATTTGGTGCTTGTTGTTGAAGATCAGAAATTTCATGTTCATCGAGGTATTCTCGCATTTTGGTCGCCCGTGTTTGAAAAGATGTTCACTTCAGAATTCAAGGAGAAGAATAAAGATGAAATCCCTCTTCCAGGGAAGAAAGCAAGAGAAATCCAAACCTTGCTACTTATGATGTATCCTTCTGTGGAGGAGAAACAAGTAACAAAGGCAAATTGTTACTTCTTGTTTGAACTTGCTCATGAATATCAAATAGAGTCTATTGCTCGGAAGTGTGAGGCGTTAATGGCTTCTATGGTCAAAAAACGAATGGAGTATGATGTTCTTGCTATGCTCGTCTATGGACAAAAGTACGAGCTAAAAACTCTGATATCGACGTGTATATATGAAGCAAGACGCTTGACATTGATGCAATTAAAGAGGCATAGAAGGCGTCTCGAGATCGAGCCAGACAACTATATGCAGATTGCCGAGGGAATTATCCAGCGACTCGAGACACAGTGTAAGGAGGTGAGAGAAGGGAGTCTGAAAAATCTGGAGCGTGTTAGCGAGAGCCTGTGCTTGCACGTTGAAAGTAAAAGTAGGGGCTGGTCCGGAGATCTAAAAACCACTAATGAGCGATTAGACTATGTACTGAGTGACAGTGATAAAAACCACGTTAAATGTACATGTTTGAGCCTTAAAAGTGTTGCCGAAGAGTTAATAGCTCAAAAGAAAACGATAGAGACCCTACCTTGATTGAAGCTGGAGAATAAATAAATAAATAAATAAATTAATTAATTAATTAATTAAGTGTCTTTATTGTTCAAAAGATAAAATTACATATCTTATGTTACATTTAAATATATCAATGTTAATGGGCTAAAGTATGTCTCTAACTAAGATTAGTATATACATAGAAACAAATACAAAAATCGAATACAGAAAGTGCACTATTTACAAAGCTACATTATACTTAAAGACAATTCTATTAAAGAATGTATTCTTAAAAAGGTCCGTGTGAATGGCGGGCATTGCGGGAGATTTATTCCTTAAGTTGTATCTTGTAATCTTAGTCTCAGGGAAATTAGCTCTAAGAGGGTGGTTCGGGATACTAGAAACCTTCCTACAAATTCTATGATCTTGCACTTTAAGTAATTCACCTATCTCTAATTTCTTGGATATGTATCTGCGTTTAAAATATCGATCTAAAAACTGCTGGGTTGTAGTTAGCTCTGCTTCAGAGGCCCCATACACAGATAAAGCATAAGTAATATTAGGTAGAACAGTGGAAGAGAATAAATGGTCTACTTCTGCTTGGCTACATCCTTCTTTTCGGAGGCATCTGATGACGTACAAGCATTTATTAGCTTTACATAACTTTTACAAGTCAAAGGCCCATTGCCAAACTTGGTGCAACCCGATCGTTTATTTTTGTTTTGAAATCGCACTTTTGTAAATGGTGTGCTCTGATTATAGTCCACACTTTTGCCAGGTTTTCTCGCACTGAGGCAAAGTAGTCAGAGCTAGTCAGCTGTGGTCGCGTCGGCGTTGTGTGTTTCCTCATCTGACAAATGGTTGCACCACAGGGCGTCCGCACAATGTGTGTGTGTAACCGATTGCTATTTTATAGTAAATGTACTGGATTTACCTTGTTATTTTTTAGTAAATGTACTGGATTTACCGTTCGCTCCACCTATAGTGATATGTCGCTAAGTATGTCTATAAATCAATATTAAATAAACGTTCAATTACCTTTCCTGTTGTAATATATTGTCATCCTTTTGCCTCAAAAGCGGTTTTTTGAGCGATTTTGAAGGATTTTGCATGAGTTCGCAAAACCAACCAGGAAAAAAAATAAAGGACTTTTAGAAAGTCTAGAGCAATGTGTGTATTTCCATGAAGGTAATGGCTACTTTCCCCGCTGTAATTATGTTTCTAAGACGTAAGCAAGTGCCACACCTATTTGGTCCAGCTATAAACAGCTTTTGATGCCTCATATGTAACAAGATTTTAGGTTATTGCGAGCGACCAAAGGAGCTCGCAATCCTCATCTCTGTCTCCAGGTTGCCGTTACGTATGTGCGGAATATATTTATCCAACATTATTTTGGCTTTTGCTAAGAATTACGCGCGTTTGGAGCTCCTTGCACTCTTTCACTAGTTATTCGCCACTTTTAGGTTGCGTGGGAGACTGGGTCAAGATGGTTATCAAGTGCATTGTGGGACTGCTTTGGGGGACGCATTTTCAACATGGCGGCAAATTTGTCGCCCAAAACAGTCCCACAATGCACTTTCACAACCATCTCGACCGGTCTCCCGCGCAACCTCAAAGTGGCGAATCTGATCGCGCTCATTTTGAACTTTTATCACATGAAACATTCGCAAAGCTTAACGTTGGAGCGACAGCGTTTGCGTCGATCTCACACTTACTCCTTAACCTTTGGTTATTACTAGTAATAGTTTTATAAGTGAGGGATATTATATTCACTTCGTTTATTTTGTTTAGATGGAATGCCTGCTGGTCGACTAGAAGTGATGCGTTCTTATTCAGACACGCCAGACGCCCCTGTTGCTCATACCCCCTTAAAGAAGCGCTCTATTCTGAAGAGGTTCTCCTCAAATTCAAATATCTAACTCCTAAGATATCACGAGCGCCACGAATGTGAGTTCATCACCATGACACTACCTGGTCACGCACAAGGATTGTCAAAGCACGCGTAAAGCACGTGCGTCAATATTGCGTTTTATGTTCTTATGACTGTCATGACGTCAAAACCAAAGGAACTAATATAAATCAAGCAGCAAAGGCTCGCAAGGGCGGGAAAATGCAACCGGCCCTGAACACCCTGAACTGCTTGCAAACGTTGCTAAGTGCGGTAAAAATCTTGCATGCAATTGCCTTTATTGATTATCGATTATGACACATCTCATAGCCTAAAGCAAAGAAAACAAGTGATTCTGTTTGTCTGCCTTTAGAGATAGCAGTGTATTCACTAGCCTGCGTTTGCAACCGCTTCTCATCGTTTGCCGTCGCTGGCCACCTATTACGCGTTCTCTCGTATCAATGGTTTGTAGTCAAAAGGAGCCGAATATTTATTTCCTAACCTACGAGTCCTACGAGTACAGGGTTGTGTACTCTCAGTGGCAACTGACCTCTATAACTTAACTCTGGAAAAGTGAAAAAAAGTGGGAGAAGGTTTAATTAGTTACTTAAAGTATCGATTAAAAAATCCAATCTAGAAAAACCAAAAAGTGCTGATTGAGGTTTAGGACAGTATTCAAGCTAACCGCGACCAAATATTTTCTTTGAAATTAAATGTGGCGAAAGATGATCAAATATAATATTGCTAAGGGTAGGTTACACTTTTTAAGTTAAATTTCCCTGTTTATTACACCACTTTGTATATATGCATTCATTCTGTAAATAAAGCTGGGAAATTCGGTGAATGATCATGTACGAAATATATACTTTTACTTTACATTTTGTACTTTTTTTGTAAAACTTGTAACCCTTAAACCTACAAGAGCCTACAAGAGCCCAAGACAAAGCAAATTCAAGAAAACGCACCGATTTATGGAGCGCTTTCACGTGACGTCGTCCGCCATATTGGTCAATTCTAAAACAATGAAATGGCGACTATGTTGGTGTTCCAGCAGTCCTGCGGGTGTTTTAAAACCTTTTTCTTATGTAAAAACTTTCCTTTTTACAATAAGTTTGCGTAGCTACCGGTCCCTTGATTGAAAAGGCCCCTTCTTATAGCTATACTCTCGCTGACGTCATCTATTGATATTAATGTGCCAACTACAAGCACATTCGTTCTCGAAACAAAATATTCTTTTGTTTCGCTTGTTACACATTTGCATGGCAAAAAGATTTTGGATTCACAATACATCGAGATAACGAATCTGAATCGGCTAAATGGAGAAACAGTCATCAGAGATGTCTCTACTTGGATCGGATAAATTGACTGGTAACTCAGAGCCTTTCAAGTTTGGACAAATATCAGACAATAATACAATAATTTCATGTTTTGTTTCCGGTTTTATTCTCTTTTTCGAAACCTTTTTCAGCTTTGACAAAAATAATATTTTCAGCCATGCCGGGGAATTTTTGCTAGCTCATTGCCCCGCTCTTATCCAGACCTAGATCTTGAGTTATGACATAAAAGTTTTTGTCCACCGACGATGTTGATTTGGCGTAATTCCTAGCTTTTTTTCAGTTAACTCCTGTTTCAAAACAATGTTTTCTGTTGCAAAAAATTTAAATCACCCAATGAATTATATTGCTTTTCTTTATAAGACTTCAATCAATCAGTTATTGAATTAATCAATCAATTATTTGTCATTTTCGAGCCATTTTACAGTTTAGTCTCGTTCAGATCATCGTGCAGCTGCCGCCGGTGCGAAACTCACTTGATAGATTGAAATTCAACTCTGGCACGGTAGTTCTTAGCATGACTTGGTTTCAAACGTCTCATTATAATCAACTGGTTAATAATATTTACATTAGAATACATTTTAAAAGTTGGTTAAACCGGTTAATAACCATGGACGTGTCAGTCACGGTCTATAATTTCCTCGTATCCAGTCCTTTTTATAACTTCCTTTAGCGTAGAGTGAAAGCTATTCTTTGAGACAATATCCGCAAAAGCAAAAACAAGCAAGGTACTCGTTTATTTATTCCCTAAGTCCACTACGGCATGACGCAAGATTTCGCCTCAGCTTTCCCAACTGATTTCCTAGAACCATGGAAGTTAAGCGATGTGGTGCTTGTTGTTGAGGATCAAAAATTTCATGTTCATCGAGGTATTCTCGCATTTTGGTCGCCCGTGTTTGAAAAGATGTTCACTTCAGAATTCAAGGAGAAGAATAAAGATGAAATCCCTCTTCCGGGGAAGAAAGCAAGAGAAATCCAAACCTTGCTACTTATGATGTATCCTTCTGTGGAGGAGAAACAAGTAACAAGGGCAAATTGTTACTTCTTGTTTGAACTTGCTCATGAATATCAAATAGAGTCTATTGCTCGGAAGTGTGAGGTGCAAATGGCTTTATGGTCAAAAAACGAATGGAGAATGATGTTCTTGCTATGCTCATCTATGGACAAAAGTACGAGCTGAAAACTCTGATATCGACGTGTATATATGAAGCAAGACACTTGACATTGCTGGAATTAAAGAGGCATAAGCGACGTCTCGAGATCGAGCCAGACAACTATGTGCAGATTGCCGAGAGGATTATCCAGCGACTCGAGATACAGTGTGAGGAGGTGAGAGTAGAGAGTGTCCAAAATCTGGAGCGTATAAGCCAGAGCCTGTACTTGCATGTTAGAAGTAAAAATAGGGAGGGGCACAGAGGTCCAGGAACCATTGATGAGCGTTTAGACTATGTACTGAGTGACGGTGAAAAAAACAACGTTAAATGTTTGAACCTTAAAACTGTTGCCGAAGGGTTAATAGCTCAAAAGAAAGCGATAGAGACCCTACCTTTTATTATATACAAACCAAAGGACCAACGCGATAATTTGTTTTTGTTTTGAAATCGCGCTTTTGTAAATGGTGTGCTCTGATTATAGTCCACACTTTTGCCAGGTTTTTTCACAAAAAGGCAAAGTAGTCAGAGCTAGTCAGCTGTGGTCGGGTCGGCGTTGTGTGTTTCCTCATCTGACAAATGGTTGCGCCACAGGGCGTCCGCACAATGTGTGTGTGTGTGTAACCGATTGCTATTTTATAGTAAATGTACTGGATTTACCTTGTTATTTTTAAGTAAATGTACTGGATTTACCGTTCGCTTCACCTATGGTGATATATCGCTATGTTTGTCTATAAATTAATATTAAATAAACGTTCAATTACCTTTCCTGTGGTAATATATTGTCATCCTTTTGCCTCAAAAGCGGTTTTTTGAGCGATTTTGAAGGATTTTGAGTTCGCAAAACCAACCAGGAAAAAACATAGACGACTTTTAGAATGTCTAGAGCAATGTTTGTACTTCCATGATACAGGAGCCGATTAGGTAATGGCTACTTTCCCCGCCATAATTATGTTTCTTAGACATAAGGAAGTGCCACGCCCATTCGTTCCAGGTATAAACAGCTTTTGATACCTCATATGTAACAAAATTTTAGGTTATTGCGAGCGACCAGAGGAGCTCGCAATCCTAATCTCTGTTTCCAGGTTGCTGTTACGTATGTGCGGAATATATTTATCCAGCATTATTTTGGACCTTTATTAAGAATGGCGCGCGTTTGGAGCACGTTCCACTCTTTCACTCGTTATTCGCGCGAGACCGGCTCGAGATGGGTTTTCAAGTGCATTGTGGGACTGTTTTGTGGGACTTATTTTTAGCATGGTGGCAAATTTGTCCCCCAAAACAGTCCCACAATTCACTTTCACAACCATCTCGGCCCGGTCTCCCGCGCAACCTCAAAGTGGCGAATCTGATCGCGCACATTTTGAACTTTTATTACATGAAACATTCGCAAAGCTTGTTACTCCATAACCTTTAGTTATTACTAGTAATAGCGGAGCTCCACGCGCGGCACTAAATGTGGTAATCTACACATTCGAGAAAATTTGGTAATCACGTGACCGTACACCGAGCAAGCTACCGTCCGTCCGCATCACAGGCATATTAATGTAAAATAACTTAATCAACAGGTATTACAGGTATGGCAACGCAGATGCAACTCAAGGTTTTATTTGGAAGGAAATCACATAGCCACCCGGACTTTAAGAAAGAAAAAAAAACAACAAAGTCGTGTCTTTTTCGGCGTTATTTTTCATGTTTACACTGACGTGGATAATAGAGAAAGAGCCAGAGCGAGTTATTGAAAACAAAGGCGACGAATTTCCTAGGAAGAAAAACATGGAAATTCAAAGCGGCGGTGAGAAAATGAGAAATGCTAGCGGCCAGCAAGGTCAAAATGAGCGGCAGTGAAAAATAAAAGCGAACATGAACACAGGAAACAAAATATTGGGTAAGCACATACGACAATTCCTCCATAAAAATAATGTGTAACTAGGAAGTTTGACCTTTTAGTCATACAAAACAGCGTTGTAGTGGTGCAAAACAACGGCAAAAGAAAGACAAAAAAGCGTGCTGCACGTGCAAATTGGTTTTTTGCTAATCAGAAGAAAACGTGTGCTGCACGTGCAATTTGTTTTTTTGCTAATTAGATCTATTAGTCTTGAAGCCATTTTCATTGTCGTCCCCGTTTAGCATTACACGATTTAATTTTTTTGTTTACACGTATTATTAACCAGAGCTTCACTTTTAGCCCTGGCTAAATCTGTATATTAGTTTTATAAGTGAGGGTTATTTTGTTTAGATGGAATGCCTGCTGGTCGAATAGAGGTGATGCTTTCTTATCAGACACGCCAGACGCCCTGTTGCTCATGCCCCCTTAAAGAAGCGCTCTATTCTGAAGAGGTTCTCCTCAAATTCAAATCTCTAGCTCCTAAGATATCACGAGCACCACGAATGTGAGTTCATAACAATGACACTACCTGGTCACGCGTAAAGCACGTGCGACAATATTGCATTTTATGTTCTTATGCCTGTCATGACGTCAAAACCAAAGGAACTGCTATAAATCAAGCAGCAAAGGCTCTCAAGGGCGGGAAAATGCAACCGGTCCTGAACGCGATGAACTGCTTGCAAACGTTGCTAAGTGCGGTATAAATCTTGCATGCAATTGCCTTTATTGATTATCGATTATGGCATCTCATAGCCTAAAGCAAAGAAAGCAAGTGATTCTCTTTGTCTGCATTTAGAGATAGCAGTGTATTCACTTGCCTACGTTTACAACCGCTGGCCACCTATTACGCGTCCTCTCGTATTAATGGTTTGTAGCCAAAAGGAGCCAAACATTTATTTCCTAACCTACCAGTCCTACGAGTACAGGGTTACTCTCAGTGTCAAATGACCTCTGTAGTTTAACTCAGAAAAAGTGAAAAAAAATTGGGAGAAGGTTTAATTAGTTGCTTTTAGTATCGATTTAAAAAATCCAATCTAGAAAAACCAGAAAGTGCTGATTGAGTTGTAGGACAGTATTCAAGCTAACCGCGACCAAATGTTTTCTTTGAAATTAAACATGGCGAAAGATGATCAAAGATTATATTGTGAGGGGTAGGTTACACTTTTTAAATTAAGTTTCCCTGTTTATTACACCTCGCTGTAGATATGCATTCATTCTGTAAATAAAGCTGGGAAATTCGGTAAATGATCATATGCGAAATATATACTTTTACTTTACATTTTGTATCATTTTTGTCAAACTTGTAACGTACCCTTAAACCCACAAGAACCTACAAGAGCCCAAGACAAAGCAAATTCAAGAAAACGCACCGATTTATGGAGAGCTTTCACGTGACGTCGTCCGCCATATTGGTCAATTCCAAAACAATGAAATGGCGGTCGTGTTGGTGTTCCAGCAGTCCTGTTGGTGTTTTAAAACCTTTTTCTTATGTAAAAACTTTCCCTTTTCCAAAAAGTTTGCGTAGCTGCTGGTCCCTTGATTGAAAAGGCCGCTTCTTTTAGCTATACTCTCGCTGACGTCATCTATTGATATTAACGTGCCAACTAAAGGCGCATTTGTTCTCGAAACAAAAGATTCTTTTGTTTCGCTTGTTACACATTTGCATGGCAAAAAGATTGTGGATTCACAATACATTGAGATAACGAATCTGAATCGGCTAAATAGAGAAACAATCATCGGAGATGTCTCTCCTTAGATCGGATGAATTGACCGACAACTCAGAGCCATCCAAGTTTGGACTTATATCAGACAATTCCACTTTCCTCTGAAGACTGTTTAATTTACCATCCAACGTGCATTTTTACGTGCGTTTCTAATAGGGCTTTGTTCACAATATACCGGGTAGCTTTTACGCCGGCGCGACAATCATACCGGATAGAGCTTCTGTTCACACATTAGAACGGTGATTTCGGCGCGATTTCTGTAACGGAGCGAAGCGTTGCGCCGATCACGAAAGTGTAGTCACATATCGCACAGATTGTCACGCATGATACCGGATAGATTTTCTTGTCGGCAAGAAAAGCTATCCGTCATGGCGTGAACACATCCTTAGCTTCCATGTTTTGTTTCTTGTTGTATTCTCTTTTTCGAAACTATTTTCAGTTTTGACAAAAATAATATTTTCAGCCATGTCGAGTAATTTTTGCGAGCCCGTTGCCCTGCTCTTTTCCAGACCCGGATCTTGGGTTATTACATAAATTTTTGTCCACCGATGATGTTGATATGGCGTATTTCTTGTTGCAAAAAATTGAATCACCCAATGAATTATATTGCTTTTCTTTATAAGACTTCCAATCAACCGATCATTGAATTAATCAATCAATTATTTGTCATTTTAGAGCTATTTACAGTTTAGTCCCGTTCCGATCATCGTGCAACTGCCGTGCGAAACTCACTTGATAGAATGAAATTCGACTCTGGCACGGTAGTTCATAGCATGACTTGGTTTCAAACGTCGCATTATAATCAACTGGTTAATAATAATAATAATAATAATAATAATAATAATAATAATATTACATTAGAACACATTTTAAAAGTTGGTTAAACCGGTTAGAGTGATTTAAGTAGTAGAATACTGCGCGCTATTATGAAATAATTCTATTGTCTTCTTTTGTTTGCTTGTACTTGTAGCTATTTGCTCTAGGTATTGATATCTGTTTCACGGGTCAAGTTAAGACGGAATCCATTAGGAATGTGAGTAATTGTAATTTTCAGTGAACGATATTGTACCAGAATAATTTAACAATATTGTATTCTTTTTACACTTTTCAAGTGCTATATAATTGACAATTTCTCCTGGGAGCCTGAGCAAATAAATGTCATATTTCACGAAATGTGAAAACACAGATAAAATTCTGAAAATATCATGTGTAAGGTGTCATTTTGTGAAATTTGAAATTTCTTTTCATGGGCTCCAATGAGAAATTTTCTTTGGTGTTATTACAGATAACTAACTACATCTATATAGTCCTTGAAAAATGTGAAAAAAATGCAATATAATTAAAATTATTCTGGAACAAGGTTTTTGTCCACTGAATGTAAAAAGTACTCAGTTTCCTGATGGATTCTGTCTTAACGTGAACGTGAACGTGTCTGTCACGGTCTATTATTTCCTCGTATCCAGTCCTTTTTATAGCTTCCCCTCGGCTACGGTAGAATGAGAAAAGAAAAGTGAAAGCTGTTCTTTGAGACAATATCCGCAAAAGCAAAAACAACCAATCTACTCGTTTGTTTATTTCCTAAGTCCACTACGGCATGACGCAAGATTTCGGTTCAGCTTACCCTACTGATTTCCTAGAACCATGGAAGTTAAGCGATGTGGTGCTTGTTGTTGAAGATAAGAAATTCCACGTTCATCGAAGCATTCTTGCGTTCTGGTCGCCCGTGTTTGAAAAGATGTTCACTACAGAATTCAAGGAGAAGAATAACGATGAAATCCCTCTTCCAGGGAAGAAAGGAAGCGAAATCAAACACTTACTACTCATGCTGTATCCTTCTTTAGAGGAGAAACAAGTGACAGAGAGTAATTGTTACTTTTTGTGTGAACTTGCTCATGAATATCAAATAAAGCCCATCGCTCGGAAGTGTGAGGCGGTAATGGTTACTATGGTCAAGCATAGAGTTGAGAATGATGTTCTGGCAATGCTTATCTATGGACAAAAGTACCAGCTAAAAACTCTGATTTTGACGTGTGTATATGAAGCAAGACGCTTGAAATTGATGGAATTAACACAGCACGAGAGGCGTGACGAGATTGAGCCAGACAACTATCTGCAGATTGCTGAGGGAATTATCCAGCGACTCGAGACAAAGTGTAAGGAGGTGAGAGAAGGGAGTCTGAAAAGTCTGGAGCGTGTAAGTGAAAGCCTGTACGTGCATGCTAAAGGTAAAAATATGGCGCAAGAGTCGGACACGGGCTATAGAGTGCCAGAAACCACTGTTGAGCGTTTAGGTTATCTCCTGAGTGACGATGTTAAAAGCAGCGGTTACGTTCAATGTATGAACCTTAAAAGCGTTGCCGAAGAGTTGATAGCTCACAAGGAAACGATTGAGACCCTACCTTGATTCAAGCTGGAGAATACACGTTAAGTCATCGGTTTAAAAGTGTTTAATGTAGTAAAATTAAGTTGCACTCAATAACTGGCTGAAATGGACATCACCACACAGGGCACTCTCACGAGAAATCTTCGGAAACCCTTCGGTACCTCTTTATTACGCTCGGGAAGCGATTAGATCTTCCGAGGATTTCCGGAACATTCGACTGTTTCAGGCCCCCTAAATTTCTTGGACCCAGACCTCGCTCCTGCTGACTGAAACATTCAAAAAATATAATATATTTTTTGTTTTTACTATTACGTTTACTTGTTCATCGCTTTGCCTTCAGGATCAGTAGTTTTGAAAAGAAAAAAAAAAACAAAATATAATATATATTTTATATATTTTTATATCTTTTTTGTTTTTACTATTACGTTTACTTGTTCATCGCTTTGCCTTCAGGATCAGTAGTTTTGAAAAGAAAAAAAAAAACAAACCCACGCGATAAAGAAAATCAATCAATCAAAGAGGGTCTCAATGGGGTGGTGGCTTTTACGGTTCTCGGCTAAAATTTTGGCTCTTTTACGGCTATCGGTTAATTTTATTCAGTTACGGTTAACGAAAAAGTTAAAAATTAACTTCTTTTGTTTCAAAAAGTTAAATATTAATTAACCTGTATTTTTTTAAATAAAGGTCTTCGGATCATCTGGGGATGAAATAAGCTATTCTTTTGAAAAATTTTAACATCTAATAGATCATACTTTTTATAAAGTATTCCACTTCTAATATTATTTTACACATAGAAATGTCAATAGTCAATTTAAAAATGATCTTTGTGAAAAAGAAAAAGCAGACACGCGAACGCCCTAGCTCTAGTGTGAAAACGGCCAATAACAAAATTCCCGTGTCCAGTGTTTTTAATGATAGCGAAGGACTGTACAGAACGACTGTCTGTCGTTGCCTTGTCCATAGGCCTCATTATTCCGCGCGGCTAATGGGTTTCGGGTCACGTGGTCCGAGCGAGTTCGCCACCGAAATGCCTTGACCGAGATTGCGTGGGAAGACGCCGTACAGGGACTAGGCATGGCAATGTCTACCGTCAGGATTTATCGGCAACGTGTTTTACAAACAGTGACATCTCTGCGTGGTGTTTCACTAGTGTTTCGAGGGTCAGACCTCCGGAGAATTGCAAATATTAATCCCCTGCAAGAAGCCACACTTTCGATATGGAAAAAAATAGATCCCCGAGAGAGCGCCGGAAATGGAGCCTATTGGTTAACGCCTAAAAAGCGCTTCGCCTAACGTGCGTACGGAGTCACACTAGCCGGAAAATAAAAAACGTAACCATAAGTGAGTTTAGTACCTTTCTTAAAAGTAGTAAATCTAGGGAACATTTTCTTTTACGGTTAACTCCTTTTTACCCCATTTACGGCTAACCGTTAAACCGGCTATCGGCTAAATTTTTGGCCGTTTTACGCCTATCGGTTAACCCCATTAAGACCCTCATCAAAGCCTTTGTTTTAAAACGATAGTTTTCAAAGTTACAAAGCTTGGGGTCGTTTCTTCATTGTAGGTACTAACATGCTAATGTCTTGTGGAAATTTACAGTTTGTCCAAAAAAAAAAGTATTTAAGATAAGGAACAAGATATGTAAGATAAGACATTTACATTTATACTAAAACCTATGCTAAATACAAGTGGGCAAACTTAGCTAAACTTCATGTAAATTATAATATTCAGAGGGTTCAAAATACAGACAAGTGTATAGATTTTTATGTATAAATAAAATCTTCAGATCTAAAAGTGCATGTGGATGCAGATGTCACTTTAAAAGGAAAATTGTTAAATTCATCTAGCAATCTTAGTTTCCGTTTGAGACTCCCATAACAGAAGGACCTGACTAATTCAGGATGTTTGTTTGTCAAGTAGTTCAAAGCAGGGCACCTCTGTGCGTGAGGGGTCGTAGCGGGTGTTGAAGCGCAGGATGGATAATAAATCTTTATTACGGTGTAATCAGACGTGAGAGCCCCTTGCGTTAGTACTAGTACTAACCACATCAAGTGTTGTTCAAACAGAATTCAGTGCTCGTCCCATCATTTATGAATGAAAACAATTGCAGGTATATAAGCAGTAAACTATGAAATGGAAGACGGTTAAACACGAGAGGAAGACAACAAACATCAAGGAAAAATTAATGTTAGCATAGAAAATAGATGTGTGACGTCACAAAAATCAAATTTGTGAAATTATGGGATTGGGTGGGATATTAAGAAAGAACAAGATGAATAAAGCCTTCAAATGCAGATTGGTGGGGGATATAAGCACTGTTATACCCTGATGACTCCATTCTAATCATTCTGCAAATCCCTGAAATTTTCTTAACTCTATATTTTAGATCTAAACTGCTGTTCTTAAGAGGTCAAGGACCAGGGGTATTTCTAGACTATGGTTCCAAAAACCACAAAATCATACCCCATGTGAATCGGTCACCCTTTCGCGCCGTACATACGGCATGAGAACAAAATCAGATTACCAGCCCCCCTCCCCTGGTCATCTGACACTGACTCGTCCTCAGTCGCCTCTCACAACTTCTGCCTAGTGCGGGGTGTGATGGGAAGGGAAAAAGTATGGAAAAGAGACGACTGGGAAATCCTGTGTCAAAAAGTTGTTCTTTGAGTCGAAAAATTTTGCGAGATCTCATTTCTTTGATTTAACGCCGTATACACCGGGTAGTTTTATTACATTTAGAAATTTAGCTCGAAATCTGGACGTGTATATTTTGTCGGTCAAAAATGTGATGGTCTGATTTTTTCTAGTCGAGATAAAATCCAATCATAAATCCTTCCCATCATACCCTGCTCCCGCCGTGCGCGTTACACAAAGACGACTGGGACGAGTCAGCATCTATTGAAGTCCGGGAGCGAACAAAAGTACTCTAGGATCTGGGGTGGGGAGAGTGAACAATTTCCTCCCCGCAGCCCATGTATCCATCGTTATAACGTGACCTGTTGACAATTTCCGGGGTACAGTGATGGTCCGTAGCGAGTAGGATTTTTAACGCGCCTTAATTATACTTTTTGAGGAAGGGATTCGGGAACGAAAAATAAAATAACCTGCGATCAGGCGTTCTTTTTTCGGGATAGAGTCGGCGGACAGGGAAAGGGAAAACCTTTTCCCCTGGCCTCCAAAACGAAAAGGGCGGGAGTCCCGGAAACCTGACATCCTCTAAATACACCCATTATTTTTCAGGGATTCATTGTTGGAACTGAAACTTTTAACATTATAGGAACGCATGTAAACGTCTAGGTATCTGTAATTTATTGAAAGATAATGACTAACGGCGAGTTAATGTGCGGATGAAACACTGTTAAAAAGTTGTGCCCACTTATATTTCCGAAGGGCCAATGCGACCTAACATAATCGCTTGATGAGGAGCAGTTGCGCAACGATCCCCATATTAATACTATAGAGTGTACCACACCGTTTTCGCCCGCAGTCCGTAACCTTAGTATTACTAGTATTATTTTGAAAGGTGGCTAAACAGGTGCCTATCATATCACGGACCATAATTTCCTTGTACCCAGTCCTTTTCTAACTTCCTTTTGAACGAAGTGTGAGATACTCTTGAAGGCGCATAAATTCACGCAAGGGAAAACAAATTACACATTTGTTAAGTTTCTAAGTCAAGTGCAGCATGGCACAAGCGGACGCTCCACCTTACCCAACTGATTTCCTAGAACCTTGGAAGTTAAGCGATGTGGTGCTTGTAGTTGAAGATCAGAAATTCCATGTTCATCGAAGCATTCTGGTATACTGGTCGCCCGTGTTTGAAAAGATGTTCACTTCAACTTCTTTTGTTTCAAAAAGTTAAATATTAATTAACCTGTATTTTTTTAAATAAAGGTCTTCGGATCATCTGGGGATGAAATAAGCTATTCTTTTGAAAAATTTTAACATCTAATAGATCATACTTTTTATAAAGTATTCCACTTCTAATATTATTTTACACATAGAAATGTCAATAGTCAATTTAAAAATGATCTTTGTGAAAAAGCAAAAGCAGACACGCGAACGCCCTAGCTCTAGTGTGAAAACGGCCAATAACAAAATTCCCGTGTCCAGTGTTTTTAATGATAGCGAAGGACTGTACAGAACGACTGTCTGTCGTTGCCTTGTCCATAGGCCTCATTATTCCGCGTGGCTAATGGGTTTCGGGTCACGTGGTCCGAGCGAGTTCGCCACCGAAATGCCTTGACCGAGATTGCGTAGGAAGACGCCGTACAGGGACTAGGCATGGCAATGTCTACCGTCAGGATTTATCGGCAACGTGTTTTACAAACAGTGACATCTCTGCGTGGTGTTTCACTAGTGTTTCGAGGGTTAGACCTCCGGAGAATTGCAAATATTAATCCCCTGCAAGAAGCCACACTTTCGATATGGAAAAAATTAGATCCCCGAGAGAGCGCCGGAAATGGAGCCTATTGGTTAACACCTAAAAAGCGCTTCGCCTAACGTGCGTACGGAGTCACACTAGCCGGAAAATAAAAAACGTAACCATAAGTGAGTTTAGTACCTTTCTTAAAAGTAGTAAATCTAGGGAACATTTTCTTTTACGGTTAACTCCTTTTTACCCCATTTACGGCTAACCGTTAAACCGGCTATCGGCTAAATTTTTGGCCGTTTTACGCCTATCGGTTAACCCCATTAAGACCCTCATCAAAGCCTTTGTTTTAAAACGATAGTTTTCAAAGTTACAAAGCTTGGGGTCGTTTCTTCATTGTAGGTACTAACATGCTAATGTCTTGTGGAAATTTACAGTTTGTCCAAAAAAAAAAGTATTTAAGATAAGGAACAAGATATGTAAGATAAGACATTTACATTTATACTAAAACCTATGCTAAATACAAGTGGGCAAACTTAGCTAAACTTCATGTAAATTATAATATTCAGAGGGTTCAAAATACAGACAAGTGTATAGATTTTTATGTATAAATAAAATCTTCAGATCTAAAAGTGCATGTGGATGCAGATGTCACTTTAAAAGGAAAATTGTTAAATTCATCTAGCAATCTTAGTTTCCGTTTGAGACTCCCATAACAGAAGGACCTGACTAATTCAGGATGTTTGTTTGTCAAGTAGTTCAAAGCAGGGCACCTCTGTGCGTGAGGGGTCGTAGCGGGTGTTGAAGCGCAGGATGGATAATAAATCTTTATTACGGTGTAATCAGACGTGAGAGCCCCTTGCGTTAGTACTAGTACTAACCACATCAAGTGTTGTTCAAACAGAATTCAGTGCTCGTCCCATCATTTATGAATGAAAACAATTGCAGGTATATAAGCAGTAAACTATGAAATGGAAGACGGTTAAACACGAGAGGAAGACAACAAACATCAAGGAAAAATTAATGTTAGCATAGAAAATAGATGTGTGACGTCACAAAAATCAAATTTGTGAAATTATGGGATTGGGTGGGATATTAAGAAAGAACAAGATGAATAAAGCCTTCAAATGCAGATTGGTGGGGGATATAAGCACTGTTATACCCTGATGACTCCATTCTAATCATTCTGCAAATCCCTGAAATTTTCTTAACTCTATATTTTAGATCTAAACTGCTGTTCTTAAGAGGTCAAGGACCAGGGGTATTTCTAGACTATGGTTCCAAAAACCACAAAATCATACCCCATGTGAATCGGTCACCCTTTCGCGCCGTACATACGGCATGAGAACAAAATCAGATTACCAGCCCCCCTCCCCTGGTCATCTGACACTGACTCGTCCTCAGTCGCCTCTCACAACTTCTGCCTAGTGCGGGGTGTGATGGGAAGGGAAAAAGTATGGAAAAGAGACGACTGGGAAATCCTGTGTCAAAAAGTTGTTCTTTGAGTCGAAAAATTTTGCGAGATCTCATTTCTTTGATTTAACGCCGTATACACCGGGTAGTTTTATTACATTTAGAAATTTAGCTCGAAATCTGGACGTGTATATTTTGTCGGTCAAAAATGTGATGGTCTGATTTTTTCTAGTCGAGATAAAATCCAATCATAAATCCTTCCCATCATACCCTGCTCCCGCCGTGCGCGTTACACAAAGACGACTGGGACGAGTCAGCATCTATTGAAGTCCGGGAGCGAACAAAAGTACTCTAGGATCTGGGGTGGGGAGAGTGAACAATTTCCTCCCCGCAGCCCATGTATCCATCGTTATAACGTGACCTGTTGACAATTTCCGGGGTACAGTGATGGTCCGTAGCGAGTAGGATTTTTAACGCGCCTTAATTATACTTTTTGAGGAAGGGATTCGGGAACGAAAAATAAAATAACCTGCGATCAGGCGTTCTTTTTTCGGGATAGAGTCGGCGGACAGGGAAAGGGAAAACCTTTTCCCCTGGCCTCCAAAACGAAAAGGGCGGGAGTCCCGGAAACCTGACATCCTCTAAATACACCCATTATTTTTCAGGGATTCATTGTTGGAACTGAAACTTTTAACATTATAGGAACGCATGTAAACGTCTAGGTATCTGTAATTTATTGAAAGATAATGACTAACGGCGAGTTAATGTGCGGATGAAACACTGTTAAAAAGTTGTGCCCACTTATATTTCCGAAGGGCCAATGCGACCTAACATAATCGCTTGATGAGGAGCAGTTGCGCAACGATCCCCATATTAATACTATAGAGTGTACCACACCGTTTTCGCCCGCAGTCCGTAACCTTAGTATTACTAGTATTATTTTGAAAGGTGGCTAAACAGGTGCCTATCATATCACGGACCATAATTTCCTTGTACCCAGTCCTTTTCTAACTTCCTTTTGAACGAAGTGTGAGATACTCTTGAAGGCGCATAAATTCACGCAAGGGAAAACAAATTACACATTTGTTAAGTTTCTAAGTCAAGTGCAGCATGGCACAAGCGGACGCTCCACCTTACCCAACTGATTTCCTAGAACCTTGGAAGTTAAGCGATGTGGTGCTTGTAGTTGAAGATCAGAAATTCCATGTTCATCGAAGCATTCTGGTATACTGGTCGCCCGTGTTTGAAAAGATGTTCACTTCAGAATTCAAGGAGAAGAATAAAGATGAAATTCCTCTTCCAGGGAAGAAAGCAAGCGAAATCAAGCAGTTGCTCTATATGCTGTATCCTTCTTTGGAAGAGAAACAAGTGACCAAGGCAAATTGTTACTTCTTGCTTGAACTTGCTCACGAATATCGAATACAGTCCATTGTTGAGAAGTGCCCATCGTTTATGGTTTTTATGGTCAAAGAAAAGATGGAAGATGATGTTCTTGCGATGCTCATCTATGGGCAAAAGTACCAGCTTAAAACTCTTATATCGGCGTGTATAGATGGGGCACGACGTTTATCGTTGGAGCAATTGAAACAGCATAAAAAAGAGATCGAGCCAGATAACTACCTGCAGATTGCTGAGGGAATTATTCAGCGACTCGAGACACTCGAGACACAATGTAAGAAGGTGAAAGAGGGGAGTCTGAGATGTCTGGATCGTGTATGTGAAAGCCTTTACAGGCATGCTCGAGCGAAACTACCTAGACCAGCCACGCAAAACACCACTGACGGGGTTCTTAGACTGTTTAGTAAACGACGTTGATAAAAACAGCGGTGACGCGGTTAAAGTTGTTAACTGTAAGAGCCTTAAATGTGTCGCCGATGAATTAATAGCTCAGAAGAAAATGTTGGAGAGCTTGCCTTCATTTCAGCCGAAGAAAGCGAAGCGACTAGATTTGTCGAATCTCAGAATCGCAGGTAGAAGCGGAATCATTTCTTGATTCCCCAGATTCCCGTCGCTTTTACCTCAATGATTCATGATTCCTACAAGAATTTTCTTCCAGATTGATGATTCACGAAGACTTTTGATGACCTATTCATTTAATGATTTTCTCAGTGGCTACCTTAGTCTCGCTTTGTATAGTTTTTTGGGGTCCACACGTCTGTTTTCATCCAGAATTATGTAGATTTCTCTACCACTGTTTCTCTGTATCATCTTTCGTTTTGTCCAGACATGGATTTTTTTTGTAACTCAACATTAAGCACCAGTGTAACTGGAGAAACAAGCGGACTCTCAGCCCCGAATACACGAGGGGCATACTCCCCTAGGAAAAAATTTGAAAATTGGACTCTCGGAAACGCCATATCCTGCATTCCCTGGATCGAACGCAATTAATTCATATAAGTCTATTTTGTCGCGCTTTTCTCAGAGTCTCGTTATTCATGGTTCCCAAGCCGAAGTACAAAGATTCATGATTCCCAATGCAAGTTTTTAAAAACAAAGATTCATGATTCCTACAAGTTTTGTAACTATGATTCATGATTCATGATTCCGCTTTCACCCTTCCACCCCCGTCTCAGAACATACTAAGAATTTCAGTATTACTCTTAAAGTTATCATTTTGTTGGTGGTCCACAGAATCACAAATGTCCACGTGCTGTTGCATAGGTGTTCTGGAGCCTCCGACTGAACTGAATAACCTCCGTCCCTTTAAAATAATCTCTCTTTTTTTAATGAAAAAATAACAAGCATACTTTGAGTTTAATAAATTATAACAGGTAACAGGTACAACACGCCGAAAACAATGTACGACAGAAAATATTGTAAGCAATATTAGACTTAAAAATACTATTTTAAGCTGATTCTTTAAACGATACTGTGATGAATAAAGGAGAGCAGAAAAAATTCAACAACAGTTTGTAGACATGAAAGAAACCAAAGCAGAAGGAGTCTAGAAGGTAATAACCAAAACTGCAGTTGTGCATTATGATAACCTCGAAATAAAAAAGCAATCTTTGGGGGGAATTTCAGGTCGTCGTAAAGATTTGATTCAGAAAAGATATTCAAGATTATAAATTTTACTCGCGGACCAATATCCTTGGCACCAGAGGTTTTTTCTTGCGTCCGGCTGGATGCTTCGGTGCTCGATGCGAAACCGGGGAAACCGCGTATGGAAATTTTCTGGCACCCAGGGCAGCGGACCAAGGACAACTTAAAAGAGGCTGAATAGCTCAAAAACAGTGAGTACTGCTTAGACCGCACTGTTCTTCGTCTATTTTTATGCTTCTTCAGTTTCTTACACTGTTTCATAACTGTTTATCACCGAACCGAACCGCATTAATGACCAAATTGTAATAATCGCAAGTTTGTTTCTGACCCTCAAAAATAACATACGCTGTGCGTACACTGCCAAGATACCTGAAGATGTGAAGAGACAAGTTTAGTTTGAATGCCAATCGATGGCAATCGATCAGTGAAGTACGCTATTACTTTTCAGGTGTCTTTTGTGTGATTATCGATTGTTCATCGGTTGGCTGATACCAATCGATGCCAATGAACAGAAATTAATCGAGTGTTATCAAGTGTTATTTTAATTATTGCGTTAGTTAGTAAAGCGCCTTGAAGATAGGATAAGAGCGCTATAGAAATAAGGTTAGTATAATTATTATTGTTATTATTATTATTATTGTTATTGATCGATAGATTTTCCGATCATCGATTTCATTGACTGTTCAAGCTATGCACCCTATAATTTACACATCTCAAGGCATACTCCCCAGGGAAGAGGTCCATTTGAAAAGTGGGTGGATGGATGTAGCCTGTGTACAAACGCCCTCTTCCCTCACAGGTTAGAGTGGATGCCAGGTTAGATTGGAAAAGACCAATAAGGACGTGGCTCAATTATTTGACCCAAAAAATATAATTCAAAAAAAGGGTGAAAAACTGCGATTGTTTCTTTTTCAAGTTTTCCGTTCTTTTTTTCTTTTTTTTTCGTTCCAAAATGGCGGCTCATGATTCATGATGATTAAGCGTAAGAATCAAAGAATGGTCAATAACTACATCAAAGTCATCTTTTTAATCGAGCTACGAAATTTATAAAAGCCCCCCCCTCCCCCCCCCCCCCAACTTTGGGGGGAATTTCAGGTCGTCGTAAAGATTTGATTCAGGAAAGATATTCAAGATTATAAATTTTACTCGCGGACCAATATCCTTGGCACCAGAGGCTTTTTCTTGCGTCCGGCTGGATGCTTCGGTGCTTGGTGCGAAACCGGGGAAACCGCGTATGGAAATTTTCTCATGATTCATGATGACTTGCTCATGAGTTCATGATGATTAAGCGTAAGAATCAAAGAATGGTCAGTGACTACATCATAGTCATCTTTTTATTCGAGATACGAAATTTATAAAAGCCCTTTCGTCGTGTGAAGGCGCCTTCTTATAGACCCTCCCACAGTTTCTTTTATTAACTTTTGATAAAGAGCAGCTAGTGAGCGAATATACAACGACACTGCCTAAAGGGTCTTAAAATAAAGTAACTTAACATAGAAGTTTAAAGACGATACGTCCGAAGAGAGTGAACATATTTTAAAATCCACAAAGTCGCGGAATTTTACAGACCTTTGTATGGTAGGGAACACGAACTTTAATTGTCAAGTGTTGGGGGACCTGTTCCGGGTTTTACAGACACCTCTCTAATAAAAATGTCCCAGGCTGTAGAGAGACCCTGTTGGGGTAAAATTCCGACTAAAGACGTAGCCTTAAAACAGCCACATAAGACTAGTTGAAATAGCTACAAACGACAGAAAGATTGGTTAAATACTGACAAACATGGCCCACCCCTCAAAACGCCAAACGATGGTATTTGAAATTCATAGCTGGGACATACGTCCCCCCTCCCTAACCCCCAAGAGGGAATCTTTAATAGTGAGTGTCGACTGAACTGCTTGAGCGCTGTTTGCCTCGATAGTGCGGGAGCGAAAATCTGCTTGAATTGAGCGAAATAATAGGCCGGGGTGTGTTAAGGAAATGGCTATCCTCGGGTTGATTACGTCATAGTGTTCAGGCGAAAGACACGCGCAGTCCGCTCATCTACGGCATTTGAAAAGTAGTTTTTCTGAACTTTAATACTCTAATTTCACTGAATGAAAAAACACATGCGTCATGCCAAATTCAATTCAACTTTGGCACGGCATGACAGTAATACGACTTGGCTTTCAAACGTCGTGCACGCAATTCGTAGATTATAAATACATCAATATATATTATTTTAAAAGGTGGCTAAACAGGTGACTATCATATCACGGTCCGTAATTTCCTTGTACCCAGTTCTTTTCTAACTTCCTTTCGAACGAAGTGTGAGCTACTCTTGAAAGCGCATAAATTCACACAAGGGTAAATATATTACACATTTGTTAAGTTTCTAAGTCGAGTGCAGCATGGCACAAGCGGACGCTCCACCTTACCCAACTGATTTCCTAGAACCATGGATGTTTAGCGATGTGGTTCTTGTTGTTGAAGATCAGAAATTCCATGTTCATCGAAGTATCCTTGCAGTTTGGTCGCCCGTGTTTGAAAAGATGTTCACTTCAGAATTCAAGGAGAAGAATAAAGATGAAATTCCTCTTCCAGGGAAGAAAGCAAGCGAAATCAAGCAGTTGCTCTATATGCTGTATCCTTCTTTGGAAGAGAAACAAGTGACCAAGACAAATTGTTACTTCTTGCTTGAACTTGCTCACGAATATCGAATACAGTCCATAGTTGAGAAGTGCCAATCGTTTATGGTTGTTATGGTCAAAGAAAAGATGGAAGATGATGTTCTTGCGATGCTCATCTATGGGCAAAAGTACCAGCTCAAAACTCTTATATCGGCGTGTATAGATGGGGCACGACGTTTATCGTTGAAGGAATTGAAACGGCATAAAGGAAAGATCGAGCCAGACAACTACCTGTCGATTGCTGAGGGAATTATCCAGCGACTCGAAACACAGTGTGATGAGGTCAGAGAAGGGAGCCTGAAATGTCTGGCGCGTGTGTGTCAAAACCTATACTGGCATGATCGAGAGAAAAATAATTCACGAGCGCCAAGTACTGATGTGGTTTTAAACCATTTGCTAAAAGACGTTGATAAAAGTAGCGGTGACGTTGTCTGTAACAGTCTTAAATGTGTCGCCGAAGAATTAACAGCTCAAAAGAAAATATTGGAGACCTTACCTTCATTTCAGCGGAAAAATACACTCAATCTAACTGGCTTGCGAAGACTGAGGCGCTAAAAAATTTGTCCAATGTCAGAATATAATAATTTACTAGTGTAAGTTCGATCACTTTGTTGGTCCACAGAATCACAAATGTTGTCCATGTGTTGTTGCATAAGTGTTCTAGGGCTTTCAACTGAACTGAATTACCTCCGTCCCCCAATTAAAATAATCTTTTTTTCTGAAATGAATAAATAATTAGCATAGTTTGAGTCTAATAAATTAACTGTACGACAGAAAATATTGTAAGCAATATTAGACTTAAAATACTATTTTAAACTGATTCTTTAAACGATACTGTGATGAATAAAGGAGAGCAGAAAAAATTCAACAACAATTTATGGACATGAAAGAAACCACGGCAGAAGGAGTCTAGAAGGTTATTAACCAAAACTGCAGTTGTGCATCATAATATTCTCGAAACATGAAAACTATCTTTGGGGGGAATTTCAGGTAGTCGTTAAGATCTGATTCAGAAAAGATATTCAAGATTATAAATTTTACTCGCGGACCAATACCCTTGGCACCAGAGGTTTTTTCTTGCGTTCGGCTGGATGTTTCGGTGCGCGGTGCGAAACCGGGGAAACCGCGAATGGAAATTTTCTGGCACCCAGGCAACGGACCAAGGACAACTTAAAAGAGGCTGAATCGCTCAAAAACAGTGAGTACTGCTTAGACCGCGCTGTTCTTCGTCTATTTTTATGCTTCTTCAGTTTCTTACACTGTTTCAAAACTGTTTATCACCGAAGCGAACCGCATTGTAATAATCTCATGGTTGCTTCTGACCCTCAAAAATAAACATGATACGCTTTGTGTACACTGCCAAGATACCTGAAGATGCGAAGAGACAAGTTTAACGTAAGTTTAGTTTGAATGCAAATCGATGGCGATCGATCAGTGAAGAATGCTACTACTTTTCAGGTCCCAGTTGTTCAAAAGCTGGATAGCGTTATCCACCGGATAAATCACTATCCAGTGGATAAATATTAGGGGAGCCAATTACGCTATCCAGTGGATAGAGACTTATCCGGTGGATAGCGTTATCCACCTTCTGAACAATTGGAGCCAGGTGTCTTTTGTGTGATTATATTATCGACTGTTCGTCGGTTGACTGATACTAATCGATGCCAATAAACAGAAATTAATCGAGTGTTATCGATTGATCGATAGATTTTCCGACCATCCATTTCATTGACTGTTCAAGCTAAGCAGCCTTAAATTTAGACATCTCAAGGCATACTCCCCAGGGAAGAAGTCCATTTGAAAAGTGGGTGGATGGATGTAGTCTGTGTACAAACGCCCTCTCCCCTCACAGGTCCTCACAGGTTAGAATGGATGTCAGGTTGGATTCGAAAAGACCAACAAGGACGTGGCTCAATTATTTGACCCAAAAAATATCATTCTAAAACAGTCAGCAAAACTGCAATTGTTTCTTTTTCAATATATTTTCTTCTTTTTTTCTTTGTTTTTTTTTTCGTTCCAAAATGGCGGCTCATGAGTCATGATGATTAAGCGTAAGAATCAAAGAATGGTCAGTAACTACATCAAAGTCATCTTTTTAATCGTGATACCAAATTTATAAAAGCCCTTTCGTTGTGTGAAGGAGCCTTCTAATAGACCCTCCTAGAGTTTCTATTATCAACTTTTGATGAAGAGCAGCTAGTGAGCGAATACTGTATATAACGACACTGCTGAAAGCGCCTTAAAATAAAGTAACTTAACATAGAAGTTTAAAGACGATACGTCCGAAGAGAGTGAACATATTTTAAAATCCACAAAGTCGCGGAATTTTACAGACCTTTGTATGGTAGGGAACACGAACTTTAATTGTCAAGTGTTGGGGGACCTGTTCCGGGTTTTACAGACACCTCTCTAATAAAAATGTCCGAGACTGTAGTGAGACCCTGTTGGGGTAAAATTCCGACTAAAGACGTAGCCTTAAAACAGCGACATAAGACTAGTTGAAATGGCTACAAACGACCTAAAGATTGGTTAAATACTGACAAACATGGCCCACCCCTCAAAACGCCAAACGATGGTATTTGAAATTCATAGCTGGGACATACGTCCCCCCTCCCTAACCCCCAAGAGGGAATCTTTAATAGTGAGTGTCGACTGAACTGCTTGAGCGCTGTTTGCCTCGATAGTGCGGGAGCGAAAATCTGCTTGAATTGAGCGAAATAATAGGCCGGGGTGTGTTAAGGAAATGGCTATCCTCGGGTTGATTACGTCATAGTGTTCAGGCGAAAGACATGCGCAGTCCGCTCATCTACGGCAGGTGAAAAGTAGGTTTTTCTGAACTTTAGTACTCTTATTTCACTGAATGAAAAAACACATGCGTCATGCCAAATTCAATTCAACTTTGGCACGGCATGACAGTAATACGACTTGGCTTTCAAACGTCGTGCACGCAATTCGTAGATTATAAATACATCAATATATATTATTTTAAAAGGTGGCTAAACAGGTGACTATCATATCACGGTCCATAATTTCCTTGTACCCAGTTCCTTTCTAACTTCCTTTCGAACGAAGTGTGAGCTACACTTGAAAGCGCATAAATTCACACAAGGGAAAATATATTACACATTTGTTAAGTTTCTAAGTCGAGTGCAGCATGGCACAAGCGGACGCTCCCGCTTACCCAACTGATTTCCTAGAACCTTGGAAGTTAAGCGATGTGGTGCTTGTAGTTGAAGATCAGAAATTCCATGTTCATCGAAGCATTCTGGTATACTGGCCGCCCGTGTTTGAAAAGATGTTCACTTCAGAATTCAAGGAGAAGAATAAAGATGAAATTCCTCTTCCAGGGAAGAAAGCAAGCGAAATCAAGCAGTTGCTCTATATGCTGTATCCTTCTTTGGAAGAGAAACCAGTGACCAAGCAAATTGTTACTTCTTGCTTGAACTTGCTCACGAATATCGAATAGAGTCCATTGTTGAGAAGTGCCAATCGTTTATGGTTGTTATGGTCAAAGAAAAGATGGAAGATGATGTTCTTGCGATGCTCATCTATGGGCAAAAGTACCAGCTTAAATCTCTTATATCGGCGTGTATAGATGAGACACGACGTTTATCGTTGAAGGAATTGAAACAGCATAAAGAAGAGATCGAGCCAGACAACTACCTGCAGATTGCTGAGGGAATTATCCAGCGGCTCGAGACCCTCGAGACACAGTGTAAGGAGGTGAAAGCGGGGAGTCTGAGATGTCTGGATCGTGTATGTGAGAGCCTTTACCGGCATGCTCGAGCGGAAAATATGAGATCAGCCATGCAAAACACCACTGATGGGTTCTTAGGCTGTTTGGTAAACGACGTTGATAAAATTAGCGGTGACGGTAACGTCGTTAATTGTAAGAGCCTTAAAAGTGTCGCCGAAGAATTAATAGCTCAAAAGAAACTGTTGGAGACCTTGCCTTCATCAGTTCAGCCGAAGAAGTGGGGTCGAATTCGAAGAAATAGGCGCTAAAAATTTGGCGAATGTCAGGATATACTATTGTTAAAGTTATCACTCTGTTGGTCCACAGAATCACTAATGTTGTCCATGTGAAAATTTTGATGTAAAAACTTGATGTTTGGCCGTTATCTGTAGAAAACGAAGCGCTTTTGACATGCAATTTCACCTCATAGTAGTTTCGATATTTTTAAAAACGTGTGTGAATTACTACAAAGAAGGATTTGATTAGTATGTATCAGGGCGCTCTTGTTAGCGGTTTTGTAACTTTTCGGTCTACTTTAACAAATTAGTGAATAATCTTTAAACCGCTCAATTGATTTTTTTTAAAATCAAGATTCCTCTCGCAATTCAAAATGAGAATTAGTCAGCCACTTCTTCTCTTTCAGACCCATTGCTGATGCTATCTGCCACACACTGTTCTACGAGCGGAGATGATTCTAGAAAGTTATGCGGAAGTTTATTCTAATCAATTCACGACTGGAAATAGCCCATTGCAGTACAGTGGCCCAACAATAAAAAAATCAGCATATGATACCCTTCCCGCCAGTTATATTAACCAGAAAACTCATCACGTGCTAGGCATCCACTGTCTCGTGTGAATGTAACTGGATTATTACGCCGACTTCAGGTTAAAATAGAAAATATTATCTCTTCAAAATAATAGTAATAAAAAAACGTGGAAACGTCTTTAAAAACTGGCTTGGCCCAAATTTTCTCTTGCTGCCCAAAAAATCTCAGTTGCCAAAACTTGGGGGGCAGCCCCCCCGGCCCGTACGCCTATGAGTTTAGTTTTAATGCCAATCAATGGCAATCGATAAAGTTCGCTACTACTTTTCAAGTGTCTTCTGTGTGATTATCGATTGTTCATCGGTTAGCCTATCCCAGTCGATGCCAATTAACAGAAAGTAATCGAGTGTTATGGATTGATCGATCGATTTTCTTACCGTCGATTTCATCGACTGTTCAAGCGCTGCAGCCTTTACACATCTCCTCGGAGCATACTCCCCAGGGAAGGAGAACTCCCATTTGGAAAGTGGGTGGATGGATGTGCTTGGATTGGAATAGACCAATACAGACGTGGCTCAACCTTTGTTTGACCCAAATAATATCATTCTAAAACAGTTAGCAAACCTGCGATTGTTTCTTTTTCATTTTTTTTCGTTTCGTTTCCTTTTTTTCTTGGCGGCTTAATATATAGATTTTGCCAGAGCGAAAAGCGGAGCTCCCGTTTATGCATTTTAAATTTACTGCAGACAATGGACTTTAAACTATTGAAAAAACCTACCCTGTTTTGTGACATATATCAATTAACCATAATATGGATGTCTATTATCAGGTTAAACACAGGTTGCAGGCTCCAACACTCTTTAGAAAAATTTTACATTTCACAATGGTTTTCCTTTGGTGCGAACGGACGGGCGTAGTGTCACGAGATTACCAAAATTTCTCGGAAGGATAGATTACCAAATTTTCTTAGGTGTGGGGCTCCGAGCGCTCGTGGAGATCCGCTATGACCAGGGCGGATAAAGGTTGGGCGGTGAAACGAGCGCGTCCGAGCAAGAAGGTGTGATGCAGTGGACTGACTCTGCTTAGAAATGTCGCTTGTTTTCGACTTCGGTCAGGGCTTGCGATGTGGTTTGTACATTAGACAATGCCTCTGTCACTGAATTATGGCGGCTAGACTTGTTTTCTTGCACTTCTTCCTCGTTCCTTTGTGCTGGTACGCTGTCTCCGAGAGGCAAATGTTGCTATTTTTTGCGGGAAGTTTAGTTGGAGTAGACAAACATCTCTTTCAAAGGGTTTCTTTTATTACTTTCATGACTCTACCACTGAATAGACCTTGTCACGGTTTTCGACGCCATCTTGACGAGTAGGCAAACGGGTGAGAAATTACAGTGTTTGTATGAGAATCTAATGTCGGATAATTTCCGTAAAACGGCTGTTCTGAAAAAAATATCAATTGTCAACTAAAGCTACAGTGCAAAGGATTGTCCTAAACATTTTTGGGGCATATCTGTGCTTAAACTTCTCGAGAGGCTTGCTATAGATTTTCCATATATTTGTCTGTAATTTTCCCGGGACTTTCTTACAGACAAATGTATAGAAAATTTAAAAAAGTGGTTCTAGGTCTTCAAGTGAATGTAACGCCCTCAAATTTTTTCCGGAGAATCCTTAGAAGTGAAGCTTTAGTTTACAAGTCATATTTTCTTCAGAACAGCCGTTCTACGGAAATTATTCGACATTAGATTCTCATAAAATCACTGTAATTTTTCACGCGTTTGCCTACTCGTCAAGATGGCGTCGAAAACCGTGACAAGGTCTATTATATTTTCGTTCTGCTACTCGCCAATGTCGATGTTATTCCAAAACAGAAACAACTAAGTACTGTCTAAAACACGAAGGAAAATCTCATCCATGTCATCCATGGCAAAACTAAAAGACAGCAGATCGTGTTTCATAACTAGATGACGTGTATTTTATAAATGCGTGCAGCTCGTGCAAGGTGAAATTATGCTAATTTCAATCACCATCATCCTTCTTTTTAATTTTGAAAAAAAAACATCTCATACGTCTTTCTGTTTCTTCGGAACTTCAAAATTAGTTTCCCTCAGTTTTTACTGTTTACCTTGTTTTGTTTTAGAGAGAAAAACGGATAAAAAAACCTTACAACTAACCTCAATAAATTTTGTTTACATGCGGTTGCCGGATTTGAAACGCATTGCGCGAATAACCATGGCGCATTGCTCCCGAGAAGCAAAGTTTGAAGAAGTACAACGCTACTATATCAATATATATCAATCTAATTTTTTGTTATGTTACATAAAATTTATCCCCCTTTAACATATGTAAAAATTGAGGTTAAGAAGTGTTAAGCTTTTGCAAACGAAACGGCGAAAGACGA